ATATATATATATATATATATATATATTATATTATATATATATATATAGCTGCTTACTTTAAATATATTCAGAGAAAGTTTATAATCAATGACACATATATCTTCTCATACGATTAGAGTCGTATGAAAACATAATCTCACAGCACGTTATTCCCGATTAATGAAACGATTTCTTCTTTTCCGTGTGAGCTTATAAAAATGTAGACGACAATTTTATCCACAGTCGATGCCAAGTGATAACTAATTAATTAATAATAGTTAATTATATTGTGCCTGTGAATTTCTTAGTTTATGCGACGTCACTCTACTTGTGCTTTGTTTTAATTATGAATCGATAGATAATGTATTTGCACAAAATTTCGATTAAAAACACAAATAAATATGTATACGTTACTCATTTAAAATAACTTCACAATAAATATATAATGAATAAACAAATCGTTTTTCTTTTTTTTAATGTATCGAACTTTGAACAAGTAACTAAAAAGAAATTCCAGCTTTTCTAAATTTCAATAGCGCATTGTCTCACACAATTAATATTCAGCAGCCGATCATATCTCGCATAATGTCTATATCGTGTATAACGTAACTGTGCATAGAAAAATAAAAGTAACGAAAATGATGAAGTTCCGTCTGTCGATCGGCGATGTAACTTCACGAGTATCGTTAGTTCGCGCTATAATCAGATCTCGTGATGCAATTAGACGAAAGTATGAGAAACTACCGTTCAATGTGTACCGCTAATTAGTCTATTAATTATACACGTTATCCACTAATGGTATGGACCTTTAATTTCGAATGCTTTCCGATACTTCCGATCATTGATTGACGTACGGCAAAGAACCGATAATCACGCGAGGGCTGAGACATCGAGGGTTAACATAACGAGGGTTAAGGCCGATCGACGCGACTGGAATCATCCCCGCGAGAATTTCCGCGTCTATCAGGGAGCACGAGAACGACAGTCGAAGAGGAAGATGGGGACAGAGACTGTCGACTATCCCGGTCGCCTAGTGAAAGTGCCTCGGTTCACGTGCTTCAACCTCCCCGAGTATATCACGAGACGAACTCTTACCAGCGGACTCAGTATCATCTTCACCATCCTTCAACTTCCTGAACCGGCCGATCTACCCGATCTGCAGTACATTCGACTGTTGTGCGGTGTGCTCTTCGGAGGTACAATCAGTTACCAGAAGGTCGCAACACTTTTTCCTCGATAAGTTTCGGAACGCATCCCGTGTCCAAATGAGAGAATTTGATTTTTAGTCATTCTCAGGAGATATATTTTTCTATTGGATATACGATTAGATGCGTTGTGAAACTCATCGAGAAAAATGTGTTGCAACCGTCTTGTGACTGACCGTACTTCTCGGTTGAAGCGTTTTGGCGAGCTTTAAGTAACCGGACTAGTCTTGTTTACGGGTGCAGTGAACAACATTTTCAAGGAGAGTGTGTACTACTACAACTAAAGCTACACTCCACGGAAAATTTGTCTCGAGTTCTCAAGGTATTCGTTCCTTTTGTTACTTGTCAGAACTTTACTTTTTTTGTCTCTACAATCTATACTTTTCTTAATGAAGTCGGTTTTCATTAATAAGGCCCGTCTTGTTTACTAATCGCACATATGGATCATGGTTGGATGATGTTTCAGCAGCAGAAGTGTTCGCTTGGTTTTAAGATGACTTGAATATTTTTGTCCAATACAGTTCGGAACGCAGCCGATGGCTTAATGAGAGAATTTTTTTTGTTAATTCCCAGAAATTGCATTTTGAACTGCTACGAGAAAGAATATTCAAATGTTATTGAAACTAACTGTACATGTATTTTTGCAGGAAGATTATCATTAAACAATTTGTCATTTTTTCTCTCAAGCTATTTTTGCGGTATTATGTAATCGCACATTGCGAAGAAATGTCAGAGAAACTTTCTTCTACTCATTCAGGAAATACTTCTTCATTCAGGAAGTATTTCTTTAACGTGACTTCTAAAGATATCGAAGTATTTACGTCGTAATTGTTAACATGAAAAATGATAATATTTTCCCACGCCCTTTCTCTCTCTCTTTCTCTCTTTTTCTCTTTCTTTTTCTACAAGATCAATAAAGACAATCCTTTTCGCCGAACTATCTTTAACACTTACATTTGCGAATAAATTTCAATTTTTGTGGTCATCTTAATAACATAACAGAAGAAATGTCATAACCATGACTTAGGCCATTTTTTCACATTTGTTACTATTTCTCTACTGTTTTTCTAAGATGTGAGACAGACCGTGGAATGTTGCTTTCAACAATTTTATTTAATGAAAGAGAGCGGCCCCGACTTTTTATAGTAAAAATGGACCACAAGAGGTGTCCTACCCGAGACAAGTGAAAGAACAATTAAAATTGACTGATAGCTTCCGAGAATCGGACCGCAATTATTAAACCGTTTGGTTTTCCTCGAAAGGAAGGTCATGACCGACTGTTCGCAACGACTGGCAAACTTCGTGGCTCTCCTGAACGTGACAGGAAGCGCCGATCTTTCGAGCGATTATCCACGAGATGCAATTTCCGCGACGTAAATCGCTCGGGACACAAATGCAACCGCGAAGCCACCGCAAAACATCCGATCGATTATGATTAGTCGTCCGCGAAGACACATTTTCGCCGTGTACAATCATCGCGAGTCGTTACGAAACCGAAATCCGTGCGCGATATTTTTTCGTCAATTGTTATACCGTACGTCGGTGAGAAAAGCTAACAAAATTTTCATGGCTTTATGAACGCAAATTATCACAAATAACGCACACACTGTGGGCTGACGATCGTTAGGCTTGGAAAAGAGATCGCACGGTAGAGCGCGCGCCGGGAATGCATTAGAACGGGTGTTTCGCTGTGCCGAGCGCGACACCGATTTCTGTCGGCGCGCGGTGCGCTTCCTGCAATCTCCAGTCATTGTTCAAAGACGACTCGGGAGATGCTCCAGAATTGTAGCGTGCGACACGTCTGGCGGCGAAAATAATAGTTCGCCGAGTAATTACTAATGACAACAATTGTCCCGGATCTCGTTCAAATACAATAATAACACCTGGCCTGGTAGTTATTCGCGTCATTTTTCCAGTTGTTCACTAGTAAGGGAAGGACGTGTCAGATATAGGGTTCCGTCGTAAAATGTCGCGTTGAAATACGGAGAATCTCGTGACGACACTTATTCGTACTCCCGATTTATCGGAGCGAAAAAAGAAACATCGGGTTCATCGAAATTATATCGGCGGTCCATAATTAGGACGTAAGAGGCCTTAAAGATAACTTTAAAACGTCTTTAAGATACTTTAAAGACTTTTTAAACGCGTCTTATGTCCCGATGTCGGACATCGTGCTGTCTGGGTAATTTCCTTTCTTCTCTACCGGGCGAGTTAATATGAATATATGTTACCTATATGCGTGGGAATAATCTTGATCGAGCGTTTAAATATATTGTAATGTCATTTCCGAAGAGCGTGGTCGCCGATTCGCAAACTTTCTTCGATTACGTCTACGATGTGCCCTATTCACTTTATGCTCAGCTAAAATTGCGACCGCGAGAAAGCGAAAGTCTTCGCGGAGAGTCTAACCGATGCGGACATCCGGATGGATGATTTAACACGAGCGCGAATTGGTGTTCGCGGTAATACGGACGATCGAAGTTGAGGAACATCGAGTCTGCACGTGTGCTTCTTCGTAACAGTATCACAAGGTGGTTGTGTCATAGTACGGAGAGCGCGTGGGCTATTAAACTATTAATTTTAATTAGTCCTTCTAGAAGAACGTGAGGCGGAAGTTAGCGAGACATTAAAAGGAGGTATAAAATCGCCCATTCTCTAAAGTGCAATCAGTATATTATCACTGAGAAGTAGTGATTAGTGTTCATAATCATAAACATAATATTACAAAAACAGTGAAATTTCGTTGCAATAATCCATTTATAGTAACAACTGTTTCCATCGAAGAAATCTAACCGCACAGAAACAGTGAGAGGAGGATATTATTTATTACTTCTTCTTTGTTATCTCAATCCCAATCTCTTGTTTGTCAACGATATCGTCTTAAATATTCTTAATTCGTTGATTTGATTTATATCGTACTTGGAAAACACGTTTATCCTAATGGGAACTCAAAAACGAATCATCGCACGTAACATACGGGAAATCGCTTCGTCACACGCTTCGTATCGAAAATTTCAAAGCAGACCATTGCGCCACGAAGAAATCGATTACAAAAGCCGTGAAGTCCATTTTCGCGACGCGTCAGGTGAAATCCGCCTGCGGTTACATCGCGGAATCATCTTCGATTGTATGTAAAACGGGAAGATGTTCGACAGCACTGACGGTTTCCGGAGAAGCTGGTTGCGAGAGACGGATGCGCGCCGTACAGGCGATATTTCGGTATGCGTACGCAAGCGCGGCGAGAAGAAAGGTGGACACAATCGCGAATGAAGTCGCTCGACCGTGACAGATGCGTCGAAATTAAACCCTGTATAAGAACATCGATGCTGAGGTCGTTTGTGCGCCGTTCGAAAATTAGCTCCGAGCAGAGCCCGTGCAGAGAGAGAGAGAATGGGATCCTTTCAGCTCCTTTCCCATTATAAACGAGGCAGAGATTTTTTCGCCGCAGCTAGGAAGTCATCTCCTTGCGCGGTTACGCCTTATGACGGTTCGATATTATTTTCGTCGATTACGACAAATAATAATTTCTCAACTTTCCTCTCCGAACTCGCTTCCGTATTTACAATTAAGGCCCTAAAAATTCAGCACTTGTAAAAATGTTCGGACGCATTCCTTCGATCATCAATAAATAGCCGAAAATTAAAGCAACATGCAACTTGCGTTTTTAACCTATCTCATGATTTCTGTTAATTTTACGGCTATTTATTGATTGTTCAAGTTAAAAGAAAGCGTTCGGACGTTTTTGAGAATGTATCAAATTGATGCGATTTCTTGCTTCCTGACGATCATCAAACGAGGACAGCCAAAGCGAGGACGCGGGAGCCTCAAGCTCTCCGTTCCAACGAAAGAGCGCTCGGCGCTTTTAAGGCCGGGACAGTGATCTTATCTCGTCTGAATAATAAAATAATATCAACAAAATCACGAATCACGAGCGTCGTTAACGTTGGCCTCACGTTTTTACGCAACCGTAAATCCCGAGCGAAAAGGACGCCGCCGTCGTGAAAATTGAAATAAGCGCTCGCTCGGTCGCGCTGCGCGCTTGCAAACTAAAGCCCGAGAGCCGAGAAAGAAAGTCGTGGCGGGATGAGTGGAGTGAGTCCAGGACGAAACAATAGCTTTGTTTGAACTTAGCGAGAAGCGATGACCTTGCGAAAATTCACGAACCAGCGTTGCTCGATGGACGATATAACGGTCTCGTGATGACGCGATGACGGGAGTAAAAACAAAGGGTACCCCCGGGGGAATCGGCGAGCGAAAACGTGAGAAACGAAGGCGAGAGAGCGAGCGGGATCGCGCGTTATTAAGGGAACTCCGGCTTATACAAAAACTCCGGCGTACGGGCAAAGTTCAAGCGGGGTTGAAGTATTTCCAGCGTATTAATCATTCGCGCGCCCGCACTATCCCATCCGCTCTCCTTCAGCTACGTAGGCGCTGAGACGAGGAAGATTGCGACAACTCAACTCGAAGGCGTAATTAGAACGAGGTTGTGGGGTAGTAAGGAGCGATCGCAGTGTCGACGGCAGATGCCACGAATCGTGCCGTCGCGTTCTGACATCGAGGGTCGAATGTATAATTGCGGCCGGTTTAATCGTGTGAAATTATCCCGGAGGAAAAATTCGCCGGAGGGGGGCTCTATTTATGCTCTATTTATCACCGTTACATCGGGAACAGGTTGTCACGTGTGTGCTGCAGGACGCGCATCTCTTATCCCGGAACGGTCTCAGTGCGATAATAACGCGATGAAGTAAGTAACGCTCGTGCAAACACCATCGCACTGGAGCGCATCTATTATTCCAGCTTGCATGCCAGCCGCTCGCATCCGCATTATGCAACGTGCGCGCGAGTCACGTATATTTTCCCTCGGCTGCGAGATGCGCCGATACAGATACGCGCTTCGAGTATGCGCGGCGAGAGCGCCTCGGCTATTTGGAAATATGTATGTACATATTTCGATGTGCACAATGTGTCTGTATAACATCGCCGATCTCTTTCCTCTAGATTTCCAACCGATTAAGGAAGATTGTAAGAAGACTCCGTGTTGCATTTTCAATAGAGCGTCTCGAGAGAGACGCTCTATTGAAAACTCATAAATTTTCTGAAGCAGAATAACGTTCCCATTACGCATTCGTTTCATTATCTAAATTATAAATGTTAATTTGGAACGAAGTTGAGGTAAACATATACATACGCACAATATTACTGAAATATTATTTTTGATTCTTCTTATCAATGAAATGCTTCATCTTTTCTAATTGCACGAGCAATAAGTAATACTTCAATGTATATGTAGTGAAGTTTCATCGAATTCTTATGGGACTTATTTCACCTTACAATCTCCTTAAGCAATCTCCTTTAGATTGCATTCGAGACTCTTCACACGGAACAGACGCACGATACACATGACAGATTAAGAAAAACGATAAAAATCAACGAAATGGTTAAGACTCTCAGTAAAGCCATTAAAAAGCGATAAAGTCGTATTAAAAATTTTATAAAAAAATATTTCGAAAGAGTCTTTTGCAGTGGAATTAGACACGTTGGAAACATATTAAGCACGAATTTCACAAATAAATGTATTTATTATATCACAGCTTTACTTTCATCGACACTGTGAAGAGCGGTGATATATTAATCTTATTCACCACCGAATAACAACAGGTCAACGAGATTATTCTCTCTCTCTCTCTCTCGGGCGTTTTTCGCAAAGCACGATTTATGTTGCAGATCAACAGCGGCCGTTATTAGAAAGATGAGCCCAGTTATATAGCTGCAGGCGATAAACTAGACGATCATCGCCATGAAAACAATTAGACGAGGAGATTGGTGCCGACTACTGGTGGTAGCCGCGATCTTGTCGGGGCGCGCCAATGCAGAAAAGGTTAAATAATTGCGAGTCTTAAGCGATATTTTCATAACCCTGCCCGATAATTCTACCCACTGGCGAAAATTGCGCGACCGTTTTGATTTTGAAAGGTGTGACGGAATATTTCTTAAGCATCGCCGAGATAGCGCCTTTCCAAATCACCTTAGCCGTTTTGATCGCCGCTTCATTATTTCGTCATTTCGACGTCGCAACATCCGAAACGTGCGAAATTCGTTCGTTAACATTCCGCCCACAGAGCTAGTTTGATCAAGTTTTACAAGCGCGTCTCTGGGTATTCGAACCTTTTGTTAACGTCAGTTATACACGTGAGGCACGGTGTTAATAATTTCACACGCATAAATATTTTGCGTACGCGACAATTCATCGTGAGGGTCAAAACCTCCGATGTATCGGATGTAAAGGTTGGGAAGAATGATTCCGTAGACGAATATTGCGCGTAATCGGTGAAAGCAACGGAGATATTATTAATGACACAGCTGTGTGAAAGAGCGCGCATACCGACGCATAACACCTCTCTGCACAGGATATGAGAATATATGTATGGGACTATGTACACTATATACGCGAGACGTTAGATAATTAGGTGATGACCCGGGATTACGAAACGATTACGACAGACGTTTTTAACGTTTAATATTGTAAAATTCCATTGGTGGAGGTTTAATGCGTCCGACTGATCGCCGCGGACGTAATTCGCGGGATATTATTATTGGAAGTTATTAATGGTCGCGATAAATTGTCCAAGACGATCGTTGCAGCACAAGCGGCAGATCTTTCGAGAACAAGTGCTGCCGGCCTTAGGTGGCAAGATTCCAGAGGAAGCTTTCCGAACGGATCGCCTGGCATTGAATCGCTTGAACAAAGAAGGCATCTCCGTGCCCGACGGTGTGGTCTTCGATGCTCGGCGCGTGCAGAAGCATCCTCATCCCGATCAAAGGATGCCGGAGGTCATCAAGGTACATTCACTTTTCAAACGAGATCACTTACTCTCTAAATTTCTTCCACAGTGAAATTCCACTCGAAAGGCAGAGTGACAAATCGAGCAACTTTTCACTCATGTAGTGTGAACTCTTGCACTGTGAATCGTCGAGTGGGAATATTTTCATTCGAAATTGAAAAATGAATCTGGTATACTCCGGCGAACCATTTCACTCCGATCGATTGAAATATTCACTCGTGTATATCAAGGATCGAGATTGAAAATTCTACATTAAGTCTTCGAGTCTCGAGAAAACGGAAATAAGTTCCGTACGAAATAAGTTAACTCGTACATCAAAAAAGCTTAATAGCGCTACAAAGGGAATTTAGTGCTCTAGAATCTAAATTTTTATTCTACATTAAGTCTTCAAATGGAATAACTTGTCGCGGCATTTCCACTACCGTCTCGAGCAAATTTCCACTCGAGCGAGTCTCCACTTTTAATAAGATTTTATGTCAAGAGATTTAGAGAGTAAGCGGCTAAGTTTCTTCGATATTTGATACTGATTTTTTCGATCATTGGCTTGTCTCTCTTTAATCAAGGTTTACCTGACGTCGGACGGTCGATACGTACCGCCGGAAGGTCGAATCCATTATAACCACCCGAAAGCCGTAGACACGACTTACATTATACGAAGGCCATTCATGCGAACGAACCACAAGCCGACATCCAACAATTTCGAAAGCGTGAAACTTCGAAGCTATCCCAAGATTACACAGACTTATTCCAATTATGGCCAATTCGTGCCGGTCATACCGCCCAAGCCGGGTGTTTACAAGCCCATTATAACGCCGCTGATACTTCCGACAGACAAGGATCTGTTTGATTTATCTGGTTGGCAGCCAGGATACAACTGGGACACCGTATATGAACCGTTTGATGATTACTTCGTAGACGACATCGCACTCTTCGATTCTCACCAGGTATCGTATGAGGCCTGTGTAACTCGCGGTCCGTCAAATTATTTTTGCAGCTCGCCCCAGATGATTTTCACTGGGAAAAAAGACATAAAACTTTATTTGTGAAATATAAGGTACATTTCACAGAAATAAACGTTTATTTAAATAAGGCGAAGTAAAATTTTACTCCTAGCAAATCAATCAATTAATAAGAAAATTTAGGTAAAAGAGGAAAACTGAAAAAAGGAAAACAATCGGATCTATAATGTCGACATTCACTCTCGTCCAAAAAAACGTTATGTCCACTGAACAAATCACGCGTTGTCGCAACAATACCTTGCATTGATGCAGTTGCTAATCAAATCGCAGTCGTTAAATCGACCGATGGCTCATTACAGGAATTATATAATTTGTTCAATGAACTAAACGTTGCACTTAAAACATTGCACTTTAAATGAACAAATCGTGTTCACCTAAACAAAAATTTCGTTGGTTTAACTACTGTCTTTTCTCAGTGTAGTATATAGGAATCACCTGGCAAATCGCGGAAAGTAATGCGTCGGGCCTTGGGTTAGTCTGGTAAAACGATTGTTGCCTTTATCGCACGTAATTGTTTGGGGTCTCTAGTCGCGTTCAAGATAGAATACGCGCGATATGAAGGAAAGTTTGCCACACGGTAACTCTGATTTGCTTTCACGCATTCACCTGTACCCACGGTATGTAAATTATTTGAGATGGGAGCTACGAATATCGCGGCGCGATCTCGACTGACCCGAGCGTGCTGAGAGCCTCCGGCGTTATCCAAAGCTCTAGATGCGCGCTTGTAGCAATCTTTCCAAACCTGTAGCGAAGTAGAACGCGATTAGATCGTACATTTTGCGTAGATTTTCGAACAATATCAAGAGAGACAAGAATAAAAGATGCGACAGGAGATTTTTGTTCGCCCGTTGCATGCTTCCTGGAAGACTTCTTTATTCAACTTGCTAAATCAAACGTCGCACATCATTAAATTGACCGAAACAACCGTTGCTCGGCAGATTATCACGGATTATCAAGGATTTCTCAACGAGTTCCACGGACGATCGCTGAGACACGTGAACCCGAAGAGCAACAACAGGAATCAGCAACAAGCACGGCAGAATCGGAAGCATGCGGAATCGAAAATGTCACCTATACCTTATCAGAAAACGAGGTCGCACATTAGAAACTCTCGTAATTCCGCCTACACGAACCTGACGAATATACCGGAAACCAATTTCTCCTGCAACGGAAGGAAAGGAACATATGCCGATGTCGAAACCAAGTGCCAAGTAAAGTTGTCTCTCTCGTTACTTCCTAATTAACAAATGTACACTCTGTCTGTCTGTGTGTTTATTTATTCGTCTTACTTTAATTTACTTCTTTTACTCCGTTCGTTTCTATAATAATCGATAACTTCGGCTTCAGACAAATTTTCTTCGTGTGCCGTGCGCGACCCTTTTTGTGCAAATCTACAGATCTTATCTTTCACGATATCACGACATTTTGCGAAATCACGTGACAGCGACGTATTATTAATCCTTTCGCGTCACGACGTTATTCCCGATCAAACGGCCGATTTCGAAAGATGAGCCGTACGATTCACCTGGATCGCTACGCACGATGCGAGAGTGTGATCTAGATCAGCTAGTTCGTCTATTATGTTCCAGTTACTCCTTTAATGAAGCGGCTGAATCTCAGCGCATTGCAAATTCGCGAGCGATACCGCTTCGATCTTCTCGCACGTAGAAGGATAAAGTATTACGATTACGAGTTATCCACATAGAATGGACTTGCGCAATCGTGTACAGACTATAATCGCAAATATACGAGGTTCTTTACCGAGTGATACCATCGCATCATTACTCGTTATCGATTCGACGTAGCGCCAACGTAACTGCTGTACGCGCGTGTATTACGGCGATCATTAATCACACGGTTTCATTATCGTTTCACAGGTTTTCCACAATTGCTCAGGATGGTCAAAGACATCCTCCCTGTGCCCACCGGGAACGGCGTTTTGCGAAACGTGCAAACGCTGCGAGCGGTACGACCATGTGCAGTGTGGGCAGTAAATTCGAGGTCAATATTACACCATCATTTTTCTCATAGAACATTACAGAAGTAAGAAGAGGATGCTAATCGAACTATGCTAATCCATACTTCGGCGGGAACGTAAGATTAAGAGAAAAATCTATTTTTTATACGAAATCGTGTACACACAAATCAAATTGGTGTATGTATAGGATACCCCAGACTCATCGATCCGTTCTTTCGCGCATCGATCGCTTGGTCCAACTCAGATACGACTTTCACTTAGTGGAAATGTAATTTTATAAGCTTTATACATCATCTACCTCCTTTGTTAGATCGAAAGTTGGAAAAGTGCACGCTTTCACTGATAAATTTGGAATATAACCGGGAACAGGTGTTGCGTTTGTAAGGTTCCGTCATATTTTATTGCAATTATCGCTGTCCCTTTTGTCATATTTTGACAATATAATAATCGATATAAGTAGCTAACATAAGTAGTTTAAGTTTTGGTTCTTGAAGTAGAGAGCGAGAAAGCTTTTCACAACTGTCATGTATTCAGCCATATAACGCGCGTTATATCAATTAAAAAATAAGCGATTTTGTACAAATTACTGTTTTTGTAATAAAATATCTACTCTTGTGTCAATATAAACTACATTCTCAAGTGGACTTACCGATTCACGCTCAATTCGTAATGTAAGGTTTGATTTAATAAGAATTTAATTGCGCATTCGCATGTAAGCACGCACTTATAGGAATTGCTGTATATTTTAGCTATATATGTGTATCCCAGAGATGTTTCGGCAGCTTTGATCTCGTCGAAATTTCTTATTTCGCTGTTTCGGCGCAATTAGTCAACACACGTCTCTCTTTCTCTCTCTCAGGGCGATAATGGAAGGGGACGCTCGACGTCTCGCGTTACGCGCGTTTTACACTTTCTCTCTCTCTCTCTGTGACATAATTTCTCGTACACCTAGCACGGTCTCACAGCAGAAACTGGTTCACAGTTTCGTTCATATTCAAACTCGGTACGGTCATGCCGAGAAGTCGCTGCGTCTTTACCGTATTCCTGCTCGCCGTGTTGGCAGCGCCCGCTTCGTTCATCCAGATCCGGGTCGAGGTAAATCTCTTTATCCAGCAGGGATAGTTCCATATCGAGAAGACGCTCGTATACGGTATATCTATATCTTTACTCATAAGCTACGAGATTTTTCGGATCGCTTGGTAAGTTACAATAATGTTTTTCCTAAGATAGACGAGCGCGGATCTATCCCTAAAAAACAACGCTGCTTAACATCCTACGATGCGTAACTAAAATATGGCCAATTATGGATAAGTAAATTTACTTCCGGCTCACAATTTGACTTGATTTCACGGAGAAATTCGAATTGTTTGTTGATAATGACGAATATACGTACGCATATCTCTTATAATAGTATACTTTCGCGTTATAATTGACCGATACGCTAGCTCCGGGTTCCGGTTGGAAAGTTGCGTCAAATTTGTCGACTTCCTTGTACAACGGTGATATAAGGGCGATGTAAAAAAATGTCCTTGACTTTGGATCAATCAAGGTAACATTTCGCGAAGGTTCGTTACACTCTGCTGGATCCCGACTTTTTCTAAACTGTGAAAGCGGGTTATGGTTTATACTTGGAAACAATTACTTCTTATATTACTATACGCACTATCATCCGTTATCTTGTTTAAAATTGTTGACGTTAAATGCTCTTAGAATTATTTTTCATAATTTACATTTCACTTGTCGCTCTATTTTGTTTCGATGCTTTTCTAACGATGCTAAAAATTTGGTAGATTTTGCATCAACGGTCTATCGAAGATATTTTCTCATTCATTTATCTCTTAACAAAAATTGCACATGGTAAGAACTGATCGTTTTACGTAGCTAAAAGTCAAAAAGTGTCAATATAGTTACTTTCGTAGACGAAACATCTATGTTAAATCATGATTAACTAAAGTTGAATTGGATGCTTATATGTTGCGGAATTTAAGGAATGAATTAAATCGATCACTGTTATTTTTTCCAAATGGACCAGGAACCACTGCCGGGAGATGATTATTACAACAAATATCAACAATTTCAACCGGTAGCAGGATTTCGTCGGCCTATCGTCGTGGAAGAAGAAAAACCAAAGAGCAAGCAGGATTTTAGTAAGATTCCTGGAATACCAGGGGTAGATTTTCCCATCTATCACACAGTGCCACCTACGAGTTTTTCCTGTGCAAACGTACCGGTAATACCAGGAATGTACGCAAACGTGGAGACTGGTTGTCAGGTAAATGTTCATTTAATTACTTAAATATTTTATTTTAATAGATAGAGAATTTATGTAACAACAACTAAAGTTCTCTCTCTCTTTTTATTTGTTTCGATTCGATTTGTTGCTAATTTTCCTGCTCAGTAAGCTATATTTTTATACAAACTATATTACTTGAAAAACAGTAAATAGATAATCAATGTTTGTTTATTGGTTTTCTTATAAAATATAAATATATTTATAAATTAAACGTTAAATTATAATAATAATTTACTAAGCAGATTAAGCTTAACTATGTAACAGTGAGAAAATATCAGTAACCACGTAAGCCACCGGAATTCAGATTAAAGTCGAACCAGAATACCGATATTAAAAACACATATAACTCAAGCAACTTATATCGCAACTTCAGAAAGTACGGCGCTATTTCTCGAGGAACGAATGGTGCAAAGTATGAAACATTAAGAAGGAATTACGTATCAAGGACTTTAATAATGAAAGTGTGGAAGTGATACTATCGTTTTTTTTTCAAATAAAACACCTAACGGTAAACAACAAGTGTACTTTATTTAATATAATTAAAGTATATTCGTATACTTTGCCTAAGATTAAAAATAATACTGTTTCTGACACACTGTTTTTGTGCATGATAATAATGCTCGGATAAGTGAAATAATGTTGAAAATAATTCATCACACGAAACTATCGTAAATATATTTGCAAACAAATTTTTCTCAGATGTACACACGCACGGTGTGCCTTTATCGTGCTTTGTCATACGAAAGTGATGACTGCTCACAAAGCGAGGAAAAATCATCCGAATAACTTGGACGCAACGTGAGCGGCCGAAGTAGAGCGGATTTATTATGTAAGAGAACGGGCTGGCATTATTAAAACCTCAAGGCAACGCGGGAGTAAGGACCGATCTCGCCTCGGTGAAAGACAAACTCCGCGAGAAAACAGTCTTGGCAAATTGTTGTCGTAATCCAATCTCTCGCGGTGTGTCGAGATACGCTCGATACAATTTTGCTTCAATTTAATAATTTTTATCATTTCGAAGAAAATATGTGTCTTGTTGTGCATAAAATATTTGCATCTATAATTATCGTTAAAGAAACAATATAGAATTCCTTAATGTAATTTCCGCAACTTTCGTTTTTCCCCGGATAGTAAAATTGCTCTACGTACATTTCGTATGACAATACAGCGATTTTTAATTCAGTCCGAATTGCCATCATTCTAACATATCCAATTCGTCTTCTCAATCGAAACCCGAAGTATTCCCAATCGCGCGTGCATGATTGCTGTGCCGAACGAATAATTGATTTATCAGAGCGTGCAATTATGAGGCAACATTTAGAGGCGATTGTCCCGTGGGAAAGTAGTCGTCGATATCATCGAGTTAATGAAAGATCCGACCGAGTTCCTGCTTTTGATGTCGAGTAATTTTTCTCTTCTACTGTGCATTTGTCTCAAATATTCATCAGCATTTACCTCCCGTGAATTATATGCGCCCGTATATTTTATCTTTCTTCTTCTCTCTAAACTTCTCCGTTCGATAAGCAACATAAAATTTACGGCGAAATTTACACGTAAAATTTATGTTATGGAGATATAGCAATGTGAACTGTCACTGAATCTTTTATGAACAATAAAACGTGCTGACACAAATGACATTACGTGACTCGAATACTCCGTCATGCATCGCAACTTGATTTCCAGAGCGCTAAACTTTCCTTCTCAAGAATGTCATTCGCTTCCTTTGTATTTCCTTAAACTCCTGACTTCTTTCTCTACCGTTTCACATCGCTCACATTGTTTTCAGTAAACTTGCACAAGTCTGTGCATGTGTCTCACATTTAATCCTTGGTTAGAATATTTATGTAACGGAAAACCACTGTATGAATTACTCTTATTTAACTAATGTACGCTAGTAATTTTATTTGCTCGTATATTTTAAATATTGATATCCGAGCTGTATAATTTTATAAATAAGACACTTTATGCAAACTAAACTATAATTCCGTATTTGATACTATCAATAGATTGATATGCACATCATCATATATATAATATTTATATACTGTATTTATGTATATGGATATATTTTTTAAATATAATATATATATATTGTTTCAGGCATATCACGTTTGTCACGATGGACGTGAAGGCCATCAGGGTGCCCCTTTCTTATGTACTAACGGAACACTTTTTAATCAACGCGAGTTTGCATGCGACTGGTGGTACAATGTCAACTGCGCTGATGCACTAACTCTTTACAAGTAAATTTTTCATAATTAATGGACAATTTTAATAGATATACGTTATAACTTAAAATGCATAGTAATGATATGCAAAGATATTTTTATTGTGTAATAAGTGACGTCATTTAGTGTACCTGACTCTAACGTGCACTTTATGTTTGCAGGTATAACGCAGATCCTCAAAAAAATCCGTATGTACCGAAAGAGACGAAGGACTTGTTCCGCGATAAATTGCCGATCGTTTTTTTATAAGTATAATTATAGCTAAGCGTAACTATTTAACAACAGAGAACAAAATAAGTTAATAAAACCGTTAAATATTATATAAATTTATTACTTTTTTGTACAAGACGTATACTATAATTCAAATATAATTATTACATTATTGTAATCATATAAGATTATATCTATTAATTGTTCCGATTCAGTCTATAATCTTAATCTAAGCACAATAGCAGAAATACGAAACACCACTTTTCTAAAATTAAAAATTTTGATTTTCTCTGAATAAAGTATTTCGATAAATGGTACATTGAAATTGTATATTTTTATATATTGCAATAATGAAAGTAAAAAATACCAGTAAAAAAGTGTTAAAAAGGATTTAAAAAGGATTTTAAATGAATAATATAATTTTTTCTACAATAAATTATTTTGCGATTAACTTGTTCGATAACTTTTCCAAACTAAATTTTCATTCAATGGAGATAGTGTCGATCGCATTCGCCGAAGGACATCAAAGCGAGTATTAAGTGATAGTGAAAGGTATGGGAGAGAGTACGAAGTATCTTAAGGGAAGTACGGTGAGAGAGATTGGCGCGTGAGAGATTAATCGGAAGAGCCATTCACTTTTCCCGTAAAAAAGCAACATGTGTTAGAGATAGTAACATTAGATACATATTGCTATCTACATTTTGGTTAGAACAATAAGAAAATATTGCTGATATAATGACTATAATTTTAAAGAGATTATCTAAATGTATTATCTAAATTTTAGTAAAATTAGTTATTTTTTTTGTCAGTATGTGTGCAAAAATCTATATATCGCATAAAAAATCGCATCAATCTCAACAAATCTGATAAACGCCTGCCACCTTAAATCCCATCACCTTTTTATAGTTTTCAAACCTCTTTTCTCTCACTCACCGATACCGAAGTCGAAGTCGGCTTCTGCATTCAGTTATGTAACAAAAAGCTATAACATTGCCAATTAGATTTAAATTTTCAGCTTAAGAAGCAAAGGTCTGTGAATTCTTAACCCTTTGCTATAACAATTCGATAATTGTTATTCTGACAACCATATATCAATCGTCAATCGCGAAAGATTAAATAAAAGAGGAATCAATGAATTTACCTTCGAGCCGACTCCGCTTAGCCCGAACCGGATTCTCCGGTACCGTATTCCTCCGTAACCACTGGAACTGCAGCTAGCTTCAAAATGCGGCCACAAACTCCATCAAATCTAAAACAGAAAATAATATTCATTATTAATTATAGCGATAGAGAGAATTTCTTAATTTCGAAATAAGAATAAAGAAATATTTCGCACGTAGATTTTGAAAATAAGAGTTAAAGTGAGATTTCATTTACTCGTATTTCTCGTATTTCTCGTTTACTTTAATAAAAATGAAATTTATAGTCACCTTTTACATTCTAAATTCTAATTCTATATATATATATATATATATATAATTATTAATATATTATTATTATATACAGAGTATCCTACGTAACACGTCTGAAATCACGCAAAATGGATACAACAGGTCAAGCTGAAAAATATGGTCGGTTATTTTTCGAATTACCACGTAAAATTTCGAGTTACCAAGGAAAATAGATAGGCGAGTCAGCACGCACGATGTGGTAGGGAAGTGGAGGGGATGGCTCCCGTGCTGCGTGCCGTACTTGTACGTTAAACGCTGAGCCAGCCGCGTCGAACTGTACGATCTGCCTACCGTATCGCATGCACTGGTTCGCCTATCTATTATCCTTAATAACTCGAAATTTCACGTGGTAGTTGAAAAATGACTTCGGTCATAATTTTCAGCTTGATCTGTTGTATTCGAACGCGTTGCGTAGAACATTCTGTGTATCGAAAGGTTAGGGTTAGGTTAGGTTCGAATGCGTACTTCTCGTTTAAACTTAATCGAAATAAAATGTGACAGTTACCTTTTGAATTTCAGGATGCTCATTGCAAACAATGACCGTACGTGCGAAATATCGTAATTATTTTTACATTCATTCTAAACAATTTAGAGAAGCCAAGAGTAACGCGCAGCAACCTTCAATGTGTTCGGTATCGCGTCAAGATTGTTAGACCTGAAGTTCGTCGCATATCTATATGTTCTGAAGGTCGCGCAACTTTCAAAGCGCCAAATCGTACATAGGATCACACAGTTACATGATTTTCCGGATTAACGTATTTAACGTATTCTGAGTCATAATATTAATATTTTATGCTATATTATAATATTGAATTATTTAATATATGTTCCGATAGTGTTTATTGTATTTCTATGCATTGTACAAACTCGGAATATGAAGATCTTAATACCACAGATTATTAAGATTACAAAAGTTTAAATAAAAAAGTATAGAGAATCTGTAAATTTACCTTAAAGGTTCCGCTCGGTTCGAATCTGGTTACTGCACTTACATCTATTCAAAAGTAATTATCTTCGCAGAACGGCTGCAAATCCTGTCCAATTTTAGATCCAAATTAGAATAATTTTCCTAATTAATTGCAGGGATGAATTTTTAAAAGTCATACTAGACAAATTAAGAACGCGGAAGTTTCGACTGTATCTAATATATAATAATGACTACTTATAAAAGAGAAAAGTATTAGAAAAGTGTTGTCTTGTTCCACGGACGGCACATGTAAAAGTCGTGTTTTCCCGCGTGGTATCTAATTAACTGAATCCAATTTTTCTTATAAAAAAATTTCCAACATGTTGGGAGAACGTTGAACTAAAACAGGAAGATTCGGCAATATTCATAATTGTATTCAGAAACTACGAAAATATTTCCGAAACGTTGCCGAATCACGTCGCTCTCGGGACAATAAGTGTCACTTTTTAACATGCTTCTTTCCTCGCGCTGTTCCTCATTTCCGCGTGCGCTGGCATCTTTTCCTCGCAATCAGCGATCGTCACGGGTGTCACGTTTCGATGCACACACGTAAACATTAGATTACTGTTAATTACGTGCCGAGGAGGATGAAAGTTATAGATATCAATCTGGGGCGAGCACCGTTCGCATACGGTATTATCGGCAAGTCTGCATACTAACAGACGAAATAGTTGCAGCGATATCTCGACAGATTCTAAGTAAATCGAGTAGCTGGAACTTATTAATTTTCCTCCCGAAATAAATAATCTCAAGAGAGTTTAATGAGATGCATGTAAATTTTACACGATCAAAGTGTGGGACGATTACCGTCGTTGCTCTAGCCAATTATTACATATTTAATCGAGCGTGTCGTCGTGTCGAGTATGTCGAGGAGGAAGAATTTGGTAACGCACTATCCGGGAAAACAGCTAGGACCGTTTGCACAGGCGTCGACTGGCAAGTAAAGTCAAGGACGTTGCTTAGCTCGCTTTCGTTATCGAAAGGCTGTGAACGCGCGCTGGAACGGCGCAATCGTAAGGCGGATAAGGAGCCGCCCTTTCTCTAGGACGTTCGAGGCTAATAATGAAGTAGGTAACGACAAATAGGTCGCACGGAATTGTAACGTTCTCCACGATTCCATTCGATACCTTGAACCGCTACATCGCTAAGCGGAACTGTCACAATCGGTGTATTTATTATTATTAGTTTAACGCCACACACGAACAGTCGGACTCAACTTGGAAAGAGGAAAACGAGAGAATTCGTCAAAAAACGAAGCACTTGTGAATACGCTCTCTAAGATGCAATCAATGTATTACCACTAAGAAGCAGTCAATCAAATATTCTTGATTATGTTTATTTGATTTAATTTATATCGTACTTGAAGAACACGTTTATTCTGATGGAACTCGAAACTTCTCTTAAGTCTGCTACCATGCGAGCTATGCCAAATTATTATTAATTATTGATCAGCACACTACATTTTTTATTGGCGTTCCTCCTGTTTAAGGACCGAATCAGTATCGAGCGACACATATGAGGGTGCGATCCGTGTTACATAATTGCACGCGTATTGCAGCACGCACGTATGAAAATCGCGTTATTGGTTACGCGCGTTTTCACGGTTACGTTCGCTCGACGTAACGACTACTTTTATTATCTATTTCGTGGCGATTGCATCGTAGGAAAAATTATCGTCTTCTGCGATAATCTCTGCGTTATAACATTATAATTGTTGATTGTAAAGGCCGAAGCAAGACATGGGTCGGACGGACAATAGGTTGAAATGAATATCCGCTCAGCTATTTGTTCTTTGTTAGATTTCCAGTCAAAGTATACGAATGTATCTATGAAGATGATAGATGACAAATAAGTAGATGTATAGAGACTGCGTCGGAAAGTACATTAATTATATCGGTTATATTAATTGCTCATTTTTATAACAAAAACCGTCGCTATCAGTGAGCTGTCGAGGTAGTCTAGTTAATAAACTATAGTCAGTGAACTATATTATATAGTTGAGAAGTACGAGCGTATGCACAGTTTGATATTTTGATTAACTGCAATAGGCCAAGAGGCGAACCATACGTTCGAGAGACTGTTCCTTTATAAGCTGCTTCCGGTATAAGTCACGCTCGTGACAAGAGGATACGTGTGTCGCGCAATCGTAAAATTGAGACAATTATATTTCTTCGACCGAGCAATACGGGATCGCGCAATACGCTGCCTCAAAGATTGTCGCGGGGTTGTAAAACACCGTGGTGGAAATAATGCGACTTGTTTAGAACTCCTTGTCTCGCTTCGATTCGCGCTGTATTAACGTCCCGAGGTGAGCTCTCAAATGTTTTCCACACTGGCTTTCTCGCTAGTTGTTACAGCCGCTTGGCTACGCGGGTAAAAACGGGGATTTCCACGTTACATCTAACAGCGCTCATGAAGTTGCAATTAACGTCTCAAAGCAGAATTATTATTAAATGGTCTCGCTTCGAGCGACGAGAGCAACCATGGGAAACTGCTGTGGGACGCGAGGCTATCCCTACGTGAGCGAGCGAAAAATAACGTTTGTACACTGAAAAAAAAAAAGAAGCAGCTACTGGTTCAAGTAAGATTTACTTGGACAATGGCTCATCGGCAAATGTTTACTAGAAATAGAAATATTTAGAAGTAGAAGTATTTAAGTGCTTGATTTAAGAGGTTGAACAGTAAGTAATTGCGTTTATTTGATTCTAGCGATATTTCTTTTTTCTGTGTAGTAAAGCGTGCCGTCAGGTTGGACGATTGAACACCCCAAGTCTATTGCGTAAAATGTTCACATGTCAAGCGGAAAAAACTTCTTATATTCTTTCACTAGTCGTGTGCTAGATTCGGGCCGCCGCTGAGATAGTTCTTGACCCAAGTGTTTGCGTGTGAATCCTTTGGAGTCTCGGATTCTGGATTAACACACGCACACGGATTTATTGCGTAAAGTACCGCGGGAACTTTTCACATGTGAGACTCGGCCGGCGCGGATGATTAATACGTGACTAATATTAAAATGTAATATGTTGCATTATCGATGCAGGACGTTCCAACGCCGACGACATTCTCGCTACGTGAGACGACCACCGAGAAAATCTGATAAAATACTCGTTCTCGGCCATCAGCCATTTCTCGCCACTTTGTTACTACCTGACCGCCTGAACCCGCGCAATCACGGTTCTATTATGAGTGAGTTATTACGCGTTCGCTCGCCGCGAATAAACAGCGTGAGATTGTAACGCGGGACGAGGTCGCGTCGGCATCATCGGCGAAGGCTCGCTTGCGCTGCTACGTCGATTTCGTTAGGGGATCAATCCCCGATGCATCTAGATCGTTATACGCCAGCGCGATCCACCTCGGTGTGTGTGCAAACCGCAGCTACCATGTATACCGGTATAATCGTCGTAATCACGCAGTGCTTACACACGATTTCCAGCTGCATTTGTTTTCCACGTTTTCCTTCACTCCGGCCGTTTTTCCTCTTACCGGCCTGGTAATAAATCAAAAGGGATGCTCTCGCGTGCGCATCGTGCGAGTTTAACTTGTTCAAAAGGAACAATCGATATGCTGCGTCATTAGAAAAGCGTCACCGGTGCTACAAAGAAAAGGCAGTTGTTGGATGCGAGTTGAGTAATGAATTTATGTCCCGACCAGAGAAGACGAGCAACGAGGCCGAGTGATTTCAGCTAACCCGCCAAGCCGTTCCGCATAATCTCGATGTAACGAGCCGCGCTCCCCGTAATATGCGAGCTATGACATCACGTGCAAATGAGGGTCTTTGCGAAAAATGGGAAACTCCGCGAGAGACAATAGCCATCAACGCTCGCGCGAAAACCGCGACGAAGGAAAGGTCGGCACGCGAATTGTCTTTATATCTCGTCCACAACATGTGGGTTCGTTTCTTCTTACAGGCTCATCTTACGAGGCAGTCCCAAACAACACTGGTGGTAAAGTACCGCACGCCTGCTGCAAAATGCAAATCGGTAATCTCATGTTAGCGGGGTCAATAACTTAAGTAACGGTTACGAACGTGTTGAAGTAGATAAAAGAAGTGATTGTACGTGTATGGCACCGTAACATTAGCCCCGATGTTACTCGGAGTCTTATTCGATGTCTTTGACAGCACGAGTCGGAGATAATGCAGACTGTTATTAAAGTCGAAAGGTGTGTCACCAAATGTTAATAAATGTAATGTATATGTACGCTGAAAAATTGCTACGTTTAAGTAAATATTTGCTAAGGAGTATTGGAGTGGTCTGATTTGGATTGAGTAAATGTAAGAGATGTAAATATTACTCGAATGTGGCGCACTGGAAAGAAAAAAAAAGTGCTACGTCCAATGAAGAGACTAGTGCAAATGCCTAACGCCGAGAAAGTTTAAATTATATAAATGTTGTCATATTAGAGATCGCATAGAGGAGAAATTATTGATATAAATACGCGAGGAGAAGAGACAGAGGCGGGAAGTCAGGAAGTCGAAGTCATACGGGCGAAGTCGAAGTCAAAACGAGAGAAGATAGTCGTTGGAGGTTAGAAAAAGACGTTATCTTGAAATGAAGCCATCAAGAAAAGCGAGGGACTGCTTTTGTTCTTGAGGACCGGAGGGGACTCGGTTCGTGGCTTATCTGGTTTTTATATAGAACGAGGAACTGCTCTGGAGAGAAGCATATGTATTTTAATTATTCCGCGTAATTGCTCCTATTAAAATGGCCTTTCTTCATTGAGTTCCGATCTTTAAAAAGAGCCCTCACAACCATCCTCGGACGAAAAAAGAAAAAAGTAAATTCTCTCACACTAGTGCGTGCCGCATCGTTTCAAACTACTCATGTCCTATTTCCACCCGCTTTTCCATAGGAAATACCAAACCGGACCTGAACGTTCAGGGTGCGTCATACTTCGGGCGCTGAATCGAGTCTCACGAGACGCTAGTTTGACTCTCAAACTTGCCACGTTCTCTGTGCCACGTTCTCCTCCGCTTAATTCGTCTCTCACTCTCTATGTCGCTCGCCGGTTACAGCCTGAAAAACGCTTAACTCAGCCTAGCCGACAGCTATTCTTCGCCTTCGTCAAATGGCAACGGCCATTTAGAGCGACAATTTTTCAGGTCGAAACCCACAGGATGTTCGAAGGTGATGAAAGCCAAGAGAAGAACGAATCCATTGGCAATGCCTCTCGGCGTATGTAAGTCGATGTACGCTTTGGCGCACGTCACGCCGCGGAAAAGCGGCGAATAGAACAACCCCACCTGGGTTGCGGGCTGCGGGCGCGGCCTTTTCCCTCGGTCTATAAAGCGACTAGGAGACCGCTTCTACCGAACATTCGCTCGGCGCTCCGTCACTCATTTGCTCTCTCACCATGTGGCTGCTTATCCTTGCAGGTGAGTGCGCTACGTTACCCTTTGCCCGGACAAGGACGGCATTTTCCGGGTGCTTCCGTAAAAGTCCGATCGAGTTTCTTTTCATCGGCTTGCTTCCCCGTGGAAGGTAGCCCGCCAAGTGTACATACGGTGTCAGCGACGACGTTTCACGCGTGTGCCTCTGATTCGCGTGTGAGTTTTTGTGCGGAGAGAACGAATTTGCGTAAGCTTTTGTGGATAAGCTCCGCGCGTTCGACCGTTCCGTCGCTGACAGAAGCTGCGATAGGCTTCCCCGGTGATTTTTACTTTATACTGTACAAAGAGGCACGGGAAGATCGTGAGCAATTTGCCCGGGTATTCGCGCCGTTCGCTCGGAAGGATCTCGAAGCTTTCAAATTAGGCGAGAGTGTCCGAATAAATCAATCAACCGGTCCTTTTGGCTCGTATCGGTCTGTATTAAGCGTCGGGTTGGATAAATGCGTTTGAAATCGAGAGGGACGCACGCAGTGCGCGCAACTTTCTTCAACTCGCTAGATAATTCGTATACGCATGAGTTCTCTTTACACTCGTATTAGAAATTTCCAGACTACGGAAGCCTCGCTTTCGCAGTCAAGTATACACATTATACACCGTGTGTACCACACACGCAATCAACACACATGTAATCGACATTTTGTATCCGTATCTCGTCGTATATATCGCCGAGCGACGCGACAACGAAATATTCTCCGGTCCGATACGAGTACGAAAATTATTCAGTTATCGCTACCAATTGAAGAAATGTTTTTGTACCAAATTTATTCGAGAAACGTGGCGATAAGAAATATGTTTGCAGAGGCTTCTGTAAGAAGTAAATGCTCACGAGTTTAAATTCGAACTTTCTGTTATAATCAATCCCGCACGATATTAACGTGTTTACCGCGAAATTGTAACGTTATACGTGAGAAAATGCGTAAGAAGTGAAAGACAATTTTTGCGAAAGTGGACTAATGTCACTTCCTGCGCGATGTTAGGTGAGCCTTACACGATTTCAAAGCTTCTAAATGAGAGCCTCGTTCAATTAGCTGTAATGAGAGGCGATATATTGACTTTCCAAGTCATAGGCCGATCGCCGACTGATTGACTTCCGGTGCTAAATCACTCGTACTCTCTCGTAAAAATTCAACGCTGCACGCACCGCGGCTGAGATGTTTACCACGTCGTCTACATATTGCATTTTCTCTTCAGCGTCGCGGGACTTGTTTTCATTCACTTCCTTTTATTTTAATACAACTTTGCAAAAGTCGTGATATTTTGTGACGCGGCCGATGCGATTTTCTAAAAAATGTCACTATTCGCATGCTCGTCGCACGATGGCAATATTTACCGTTCCACCTATTAAATTAATAGAAAGTTCCATGTGACACCCGTTTACGACGCAGCGATGTATCACTCTCGATTTCTACGTGAAGAGTTCATCACCTTTATTCTCGTTTATTATTCTCGTTTCTTCATCTTCAAGAACATCGCTGCGAAATATCCTTTAATGATGCTGCCTATAATGGCGGCCTTTATCGAATTTCCTCATCTTCCGAAGGAAGAACACGCGTAATTGTAATCGCACGAGAGAGGCCGGAGGGTCTCTTTGCTTAATTTCCTGCTCGACACGCCGACACAATGCCGACGCAATAAGACATCTGCGTCCCATGATCTCCCGGTTCCCCGGCGCGACAATACGAGAAAAGTATCATGTTAAGAAACGTGTGTTACTTCGCTATGTATTATTGCGTACTACCGAGATCTTCCACGTTCGGCGCGACGACGGGTAATAAGCTTTTATCCGCGTGCCTCATCGCGCAGTGAATTAATATTGTCACTGGGACGCGTTTGCATAGAATATTCACATTGTGTTCAATCGAAAAGTGTGCCACGCGCACAGAGAAGACACGTTTTACTGGAACAGCAAATAGTTCGTTAATACAGTGACAGCGGAAAGATTTGTTACACGGAAAAACGAATTTTGTTGTAACAAGACGTTCTTACGGCAGCGATAAAATTTAGCATTGACATGACAAAATGAATTTGCCCATATATATCCGGCAAATACGGCGATTAATAAATCCTTCTGCTGTCTCGAAACATTCCTTTGCCGTCGGGACAAATTTGTTTCGCTGCCACCGTATTAACAAACAGTTTGCTGTCCTAACAAAATTTGTTTCCTCCGTGCGCGATTTTATTCTCCGAGCGCGCACATCAATTCTCCGCCCGTTGTTTTTCTACACTTCAGTGTACATAATAGCAGAGCTTACACGTTCGTATCGCATAATGAAAGCATTATCACGTTCCCATTAACAATTCACGGGTTCATACATAGCGGTTATATTTATACTTGTTGTTTTATCATGATTGCGAATCGGTAGACGTGATCGCGAGCTGACGATCGCGGCATGACGTTATTCTCACGTTCGCGGAGGTTATTCGCTCACTTTGGGCACAAGAACACTCGTGTAATATAGATCGATAATAGATCGTAGCCGACGATGCAAAAAATCCCACACGGCCTGGCTCGTGTCGCCGGCGATTGAGAAATCCACGTCGAACATAAGCCGAGCGAGTGCACAATATCGCCTTTCTAACCGATACCGGCCGGAGACTGCAGTTGCCAGCTGCAGCCGGTCTGCAGGCCGAGAGTAGGATAGACGAAAGCGGTAAAAGTATAAAATTTACACACGCCCGTGCGGGATATATCGTCTATATATATATATATATATATATCATGTATTACACTGAGAAAATAAACGACAAAATTGGCAATTACCCTCATTCGAAAAGATATATCTTATCACTAAATTATGTATTGCCACACGCAATATCTTGCGTTGATAGAGCTGACCAAATTGTAATCGTTGAATCAATCACGGAAAAATACTTTGCTGGCACAGCAAATTTCTCAGTTGCTATATGGACAGGAAAAAGATTCGTTAAAAGTATTAATTGCTGGATATAGAGGCAGCGAAATAATCTGATTAATGCCAACTAAACGTTTTGCCGCAACGGTAAAATTATTTTGCTCGTGTAACAAATCATTTTTATTGCCCGCATAATAACTGAGAAATTTGCCGTGCCAGCAAGATATTTTTTTTCCGTAATTGGTAGCTTATTACAGCAACCGTAGAGATTTGCTCGATGGATTAAACATTCTGTTTGATCGAATTCTGTTCATTTAAGAAAAATTTTGTCGATACCGTCATTTTTTCCCCTCAATTTACAAATACGAATCACTCGTGGAAAGGGCGCCCCCCCCCCGCATTTTTCCGCGCGTGATACATACACGGGTGGGGATTTAAATGTGTTAAAATGTGGAGCGGAAACCTTTCCTGGCGAGGTGCACTTCCCGAGGAGATGTGGGTGATACGATGGCCCGCGGCCGAGGCGGAAGTCAACGCGCAACTCTCTACAGCCGCGCTCTAGAACGGAAAGTGAAAATTGCTAGCGGCGATTCGCGCTCTATAGTATGTTGGTTTAGCGCCTGCGTAATGCCACAGTTCGGCACATACCCCGGGATCCTTTTACAAACTTCGCACTCTTATTTATCGCCGGTATATAATGCGAGAATATCGCGCGGCCTTGGAGAATCTCGATCTCGATCGCGATTAGATCACACGGGAGAGATTATCCGCGAGTGAAAGGTCGACGGCGTGGTTTCGCATTGTCCCGATTGCACCACTAATTTCACCTCTAATCCGATACTCCCGGACGGATTCGAGCTAATGCCGGCACGATTTTGAAAGACCGCTCACTCGCTCGCTCGCTGGCCGATCCGAACTTCTGTATCGGCTTGATTACAAAGTATCGGTAGCTCAGACTTGCAAACGAACTGGCGGGTTCGCTCGCTCGCTCCCGTTGTTTCAGAGCTTCACTCGCAATCGTTCGTTTCTGAAGCGCAGTTACTTTTCTCACGCGTTCGCGCGCGCGCGCGCGCGGTGAGAAAATCGGTTGCCGCTGGATTAACTATTCTGACGTTGCGCGAATCTTTGAGGCATCCTCGAGGAAGATGCCGGATAATTAATATCTTTGTGCGTGCGAGTACAGTGCGGTTTGTTAATTAGAAATTCTCCCCCCCCCCTCCACCCCCCGCTGACGTTTCACGGCGTCTGCGTGCATTAATCTTGCCGTTGTCCGATACTCACTGTACTCTCTAAAACGCAACCAGCGTATTATCATTGAGAAGCAGTCAATAGTCATTAGTGATAATAGTCGTAGTTATAAGTATAGCATTGCAAATCAGTGAAATTTCGCTGCAAAAGTCTATTAATTCATATGTAACGTTTCGTTACAATGGCAAAACTATCTTTTCCGTATGACATATCTCGTTGCTTTCCGTTTCGTTGATTCAATTAGTGACATTTTCACTGATTAAACTTAAGAAATTAATGTTCCTTTCAAGCCTCGGTCAGGACATCGTTCGATCCGCGATACACGAACGGGCCTGTTCCACTAAATCTGACGCGTAGCTTTATCTAGAATGTCAAACCCAAGTTAATAATTAATTGTCATATAAATTATGAACTATCGCGACCGGTAACGGCTGTAATTAGCGTTTTCGCAGGCGGAGGCGCGAACTTCGCCAGGCATAAATTAGGAAATAAGATTTGTTAATCGCATAAGCGCGCACCCGTACGTGGAATAGTGAGGATGTTACTTAACCATGCCTTCTACCTAAGGACGCGCACGTAGCGTTACTCAACGCGGGAAAAATTACTCACATCCGCGGAATCTCATGGACTAACAAAGGAAGGAAAGCTGACCGAGCTGCCTGCGCGTTTTCCTCTCTCTCTCCCTCTTTCTTTCTCTCTCTCTCTCTCTTTCTCTCTCTCTCGAGTCGCTTGAAAAGGACTCGCACGACCGCGTTCGAACGCAGAAATGAGAAAGAGAGCAACGCGACGATTCGCATCCATAAGACCTTTCCTCGATAGCGTGCATTGAAATTTTGAATGACGGATTATCAGCCTGGCGCTGGTAATCAGCAATATACTTGGCAAGGAGCACCGAGAAGAGGAAGCTGGTAATAATGGTGCGCGTTTCGCGGGATCGCCTTCATTATGTCTCGCGTTGTGTATAGGTAAAAAAGGTAAAAGGGAAACTTTCCTCTCAACCTCACTTTCAGGATCACCTAAGAGCGATAGTCAAGAGCAAGTATGATTTTACGCGATTGTTCGCTGTTCCGGTTATTTTCCTATGCATTCGTACGCACGTGCACTGTGCGTGCATAACGCGCACGGAGAACAATTTTCCCCTGACACAGCGAATTGTATGTTGCTAGGGAGATAGCAAGAAAATTTGTTTGGACAGCGAAGCGAGTTAAGAATATTAATTGCTAATTATGCCAACTAAATTCGATCGTCGTCCCAAAACGACGTTTTGCTATGACAGAAAAATCACTTTTTCTTTTCCGTGTAACAAATCTTTTTGCTGTCGCTACGGTAACAAACAATTTGTTGTGCCGGTAAACGAATCTCTTCCGCGCGTACACAAATATCGATTAAAAGTAATTTATGATAGATGGCTTTTACGTAATGCGAAATATAACTGAACATGGGATATAAAAATGTTTAACTGCATAAACAATCATTAGAAAATATCTGATCGATCGATCATCCACCTTCTAATCCATTCTTCTCAACGAATCGATCTTGACGTTAACAAAACTGTTATGTTTTCTTATCTATTGTGTATTTCGATTATCCGATTCTCGATTATCGATTTATCCGGGGCTGTTAAAACGTTAATACTTTAATACTTTGATTAGAAACGCAATTCGGTAAACGTTAGGCACTTAAATAACAATTAACGAGAAAGTTATCCACTGAAACAGCGCCGGCTATTTTACTCTCACCGAGATAATAGAAGTACTCGTTAATAACGGACGCGGCTACAATGCTCTCTCTCTCTCTCTCTTTCTTTCTTGATTTAACCATTTTCGACTACGTAAACTTTCGACGAACAATCATACTAAATGCATCTGGAAATACGATTCGCCAATATGGCCCGAGGTATCACGACGACGAGCTGTAACGGCTAGGTAGTTTATAACCGATTCGTGGTTACAAAATACGCGGTAATCGAAACCGGTGCATCGTGTTGAGCCACCGGCTTCCCGGTTGGCTTGAGTTTGAACTACACAACTTGGCTCACTTATGCATCGTACGTGTCGGAAGGTTTCCTCGTTGTTTCTTCTATTATACGGAAAAAAAGAATTTCGCTGGCAAATCGTTAGTTACTACAGGGACAGAAAAGAAATTTGTTTAGACAGCAAAAAGATTTGTTAAGAGTATCTGTTGCTGTTTGCTAGATATATAGACAGCAAAATAATTTGGTTTATGCCAATTAAATTTTATTCGTCACGACAACGGTTTTGCTACAACAGCAAAATTATTTCCGTGCACGAACTTGATTCGATCGATATACATTAATATATGATGTTGATTTTCGTATTCGAGATCGAATTTTGCTCACATGCGGCTTTTTCCTCACCTCCGGCGTTATATAATGAATTAACTTTAACCATTGTTCCATTTCGAACTGCATAAGTCGCACCATCAGGCTCTCAGGTGGACGGTTGATACGCTCAGCACCTCGATTTTCGTCCTTTTCCGCGGGCGAACGTCTGAAAACGTTGAAAGTAAAATCCGTGGGAAGAGTTTCTTCGAGCGCACGTCGCTCGTAACTTTCTCTGCGTTACTTTCCCAGCTCCATGCTGGGCGCTCGCAGTCAAGCAGAACGATATAAAAGTCACCTCCGTGTTCGATTATTCGACCGGCGAACTCCGCGATAGTATCCGCATAGAATTTTCGACGTCTTACGCAACGCGAAGGGTGTACTCCAAAAAACGTTCCAAACAAACGCGCTTCATCATGCGAGAACGAAATGTCATACGCTGTAACAGTGATACATTCGCTCGCAAATCAATCGGAATTAATTCCGGGCTGAACCCGGAATCACTTCTCGCACGATTAATATGCCCCGGAATAAAGGAAGCGGTTCCTCTAAGGTAAAGGTATCAATGCCCGGGTGTGCACCTAAACCTGGATATTCTCATTATTTTGCCCTTCAAATACGAATATTTAAACTTTTAACATGAAAACAATATAAAATAATATATTCACGATCGGAAATTGAGATGTTCGTAATTGAAAACCAAAGCAATAAGAACGTGTCCAGGTTTAGATGCATATCCGGGTATTGGTAGTTTTACCTAACATGGACTCTGCAATAAACGGTGAATTTGAAAAATCAATAGGTTTTTTGGCAGTCTCCGCTGGAGAGGAGACCATAGCCAGCGTCGGCGAGAAGGCGGAATCGTCCTCGGTCGACGACATCGTCATGCTGGAGATCGATGTCAAAGATCCTGTCAAGAGATCACCAGTTTCAGCCAGCGCCGTTTACGGCGCTCCGTCCAGCCAATTCGTCGTCCGGCACGGTGATGACGCTCAAGAGGTACGCAGCGCTAAATCTCCCTTCCTCGGGGACGATTAATCGCATCGTCGGAGAGGAAGGTCCGGGATCGCGGGCGCGTTTTATATATCGGACATTCCGCCGGCGGTCAACCATAACTATTGACCGCCTATCACCCACTAAGTCGCTGACTAACTAGCCATGAACAACGGTGTTTTTTTTGCCCCACTGTGCTCGAAATGAGCACGGCAGGCGTACCGAGGGAGACGCCTTTAACATCTAGGGGGTTCTGTCGCAATGTGCTAGCAGTCGTGGCTCGACTCAATTACTTTCATTGCTTGTACGAGGATTTCCATTTCACCGGCGCGGATAACTTTGAGGATAACGAGAGATTGTACATTCCGCGCGCTCTGCGAGAGCGAGACGTCGGGCGCCTCTCTCTCTCTTACGGCCCTTTGATCTCTTCTTAGAACAAGTCGGGCTTGGGATATTGCAACAGTCATTATCGACGCTTTTACGAGGACTCCTCCTCCTCCTCCTCCTCTCTCTATGAATTTTCCGGTGAATCCGTCGAACAATTAAAATTCCGGCTCGGTGAGAGCAGCCTCGACAGCTCGGATTATTCGTCGCGTTAGCTCAATTTACCCTTTAATTTAATTTAATTCGAACAATGCGGCGTGTAAATTCACGCGGATCTCGCGGAATTAGGATCCCCGTTGCGCTACGATTTAAGATATATATCTCGCCGAATGCCACCTACGCGCTCGCGGATCGCGCTCGAGCGCGCTCGCTCGCTTGCGAAACTCGTCGGGACTTGCACGCCTTCTAATCGGCCCGACCTGACAGAACCGGTACAACCACACCCGCGTGTAAGTATCCAGTTTTATAAAATCTCGTACGCGCGATTATTTCTACCCCGCGGCCTTGCCGCCGGTACCGTTACGGCGGCAGGATGAGTCACTATCGTCACGGCTAGAAAACGACCGTCGCTCCTTTATCGGTCACCGGCTCATCCCGCCGTGCAATGCCGTCGCTTTGCTATTCATTCACCGGGCAATAACCTTCGACCGTCTGCTCGTAAGATCAAGTTCAGCACGAAGGTCCGACGAGACCGGGAAAAAGAGAGATGCCTTTTCTACTGGCCATTTTTTATGGACCGTACAGCGCCTACAATCAACCTTGTAATCAATATTGCGAATTTTCAAGAGAGAGCAATAAAACAGGCGAAAGAATCTACATTCAAGAAAAATACATACTGCCACTTTTCAATCGTGTTCAATAAGACCAAGTAATTGAAAGAATCAGATTGCATATTCTTGCTTATATATATGTGTATGAGTGTCTTTATACGAATATCTTCCGATCAGTAGAATGATTTGGCGCGAATGGAGAGCGCATTCGACTGACACGGCGAATGTTTCAGCTGTCAGCCGAGTACTTGACGGTCCTGCAGCAATTCACGGGGACCGAGCCGCAGGCGTACGCGAACAGCGTGCCGCAGCGCAGGCCGTTACCAGGTTACGCGAAGCAGCAGCAGGCGCTGCAGCAGGCGTATTACAATTACCGCAAGCCCGCCGTGGTCCCACCGCGGCCCCAGCTGCATTCTCAGACACTGGCTCAGCCCGATGTCCCGGAGAATCATGCGGTGCCGTTGCGCGGACTTTCCGGCGCGTCCACTTACCAACTGGAGTCTTACTCGCAGCCGAAGCTGGGCACTTTCGAGCAGGAGCTGCTGCAGCTGGTGTCGGCGAATCAGGCTCAGGAGTTCAATCTGATCCAGACGCAGGCGAAGGAATATCCGCAACCGCCGCAATACGTGAAACCAACGGCGGCGGCGGCGGGCCAGCTGCCCGGGCAGTACCACATCGAGACCAGTCCGCCTCCACGTTACCAGCCTCAGCAGCAACAAGTGGCGTACCAGGAGATCGAGCAGCCGGCGGGCCAGCTTCAGTACCACACCTCGATACCGGTGCACACGGCGGAATACACGGGGAATGCGAAGAACGTCCGGCCGTTCAGACCGTCTCCTCAGTACAACTACGCGAACGACGGTGCGCAGCTGAAGGCTGAAGCCGAGGCGAACGCTAGAGCCCAGGCCCACGCCGAGGCGCAGGCTCTGGCCTTCCAGAAGATCGTGCAGGACTCTTACGCGAAGCATCGGCAAACCGCCCTCGAGCAGATCAGGATCGATCACGAGAGGCACAGGCAGCAGAGCGCCCTGGAGCAAATTCAGCAGGGGACTCAGGTGAGCGACGCTGGACGAGCTCACATCGAGGGTCAACTGGAGCCGAAGGACCCAGAGGCCGCGTACAGGGCCAAGCTGAAGGCCCAAGCGGCCGCCGAGGCCGCTGAAGCCAGGAGGCTGCAGTCGGAAGCCGAGTACAAGGCGCACCAGGACGCGGTTCGCCAGGTCGAAGCTCAGCAGCAAGCTCACGTGAAGGCTCAGGAGAAAGCCCATAACGACGCTCTGAACTTCGAGAGGAACCAGATTCGCGCCCAGGCCCAAGCTCAGGCTTTAGCTCAGGCTCAAGCCGAGGCCCTGTACAAGGTCTATCAGCAATCGCGCGCCAAGGCCAACAACGAGATCTTGGCGGCCGCGAGGGCTCAGGCCGCGGCTAAGAAAGTCGATCCCGACGGCACGCCGGTCATTCAATACCTTCTGCCTAACAGTCCCAAGCTCCCACCGCCTAACAGTTACTTCACCAACGACGAGAGCAAGTACCAGACTTCCGGTTCCACTTACGTTTCCAGGTCGGTGCCGAAGCCGGAGCCCATCGCCCGAGAGCAGGCCGACGTGCAGTCGAGCGCCGCGATCAATCAGCCCCGTCAGCTGCACAAGCTCAAGCCGACCCAGTCCTCCGTCTACGTCTCCCAGTCGGGGCTCCTGAAGAAGTCGCCCGTCAAGTCGCTCGAGGAGATCGTCGACCAGGACAACGGAGCCCATATCGTGCGAATTCCCTCGTCGAAGGACCAACAGCCTCTGAGCCAGGACGAGCTGTCCGCATTGATCAACGCTGGTTACAGCGTCACCCCGGTACCTCAGACGGCGAAGCCTACCCAGCGAAGCTACGTGCCGGAGAACACCTCCTCTGCTTACTATCTGAAGAAGCAGCGGCCGGTCGCCAGGCCGGAGTACGTCGCTTATGAGGAAGTCGTGCAACACTCGCGAAGACCCGCCAGGAAGGACAGACCCATCCTTAAGCAGGATGATACCGACGAGAAGGTCACTTTCTTGGTACCCCTGGAGCCGAGCTACGGCACGAGACAACCGCCGTTCAGGCAGGAAGAGTAGTCGCGTAAGCTTCGTCGTTATCAGCAGATGATGGCGACGATTGGAAACTCGAACCGAGTCGGTATTCTTACAAACCTTCACCTTTCGCCTAGCGATTTTTCTCTTCCTTTTATATGTCCGCCTTTCTCCTTTTCCCCCATTTAATTCATTTCCTGTCGTTGTGGGAGCATCTAACCAACTGCTGCTGCTGCTGTTTAACATATCGTCGTTATTTCGCGCGTTATATGTATGGTCAAGTCGATCTTTTTTAGATAGGAAAATACGCGAATTCGACGGGAAGAAAGAAGTTCGAGTTTACTTTCCACGCGATTTCAATCCTGCTCGTTGACGACGCTAGACGACCGGACGATACTATGTAGTTTCATAAAGTATCGCGTGTCTCATCAAAATGACAAAATTCACGACTTACGTTAAATTATACACGATTCGCATCACGAATTAAGAAGTCCAGACGGAAGATTGTTGCGTTAATTTTCTGAAAGTAAAGCTGATTCTGTAACGTAAAGCTGACGCACAACGATGCACGGCCTTACGCGCTATTATCCGTAGATGGTAAGTGCGACGGTGCTGAGTCGAACGATTATTAATTTATATTTCTTTGTAAATATTAGAATTTAACTAATAAACACGTTGAAAAATTTTACTCCGAGCTGTGCGATTCACTTGTTCCCTGCTGGTCTCTTCTTGCTCATCTCTTCGAACTTTGCAACGCATTGCAATATGAAAGGAAACGAACTGGCTGCGTGTTGCGAAAAGTAACGCCCTTCACCTTATTACGCATGATAATTACGTGTGATACCTATGATTGCGATACAATAAACGTTACGTAAATTGGAGCAGTCGATTACATGATTATAGGGTACGAATGGTGTTTTTCAATGAACGTTTACTTTGTCTTCGGATGTTGCGCTACGGTATCGTTAAGAATCCGAGGCACGTGTTTCCCCAAGTAATCGAACAATCGCTATTTGTCGGATGCACTTTAGGTTTCTTGACACGCACACAATTCTCTTCTTAAAGTTCAGGAAAACGGTGAAAGTTGACTTCTCATAATGTCTCTGCGGAAAATATTTATATCTATTGCATAATTCGCCTTATACATATTAATGAATTTATTTTTAAAACTACGGTGAATTGCATTAAGTACTGTCTTGCATACATATAACAGGTCTATCGAAGTAAAATAACATGAGTGCGATGTGAGCGATATCTCCTTGAATCGGTGCAATCGGTTTCGTTTAAAATTTATGCCATATATAAGGTTGAAGCAGCAAGTGCATATACACGTACACTTTAAATGCTGACGATTACGTTACGAAGGACGACTGGTTCTTGGGCGCCGCAATATTCAAGAACATTCAAAGAATGCTTGGGAAAGATTTGCCATATTTTTGGATCACCGATAAAATCCAAAGGAATGTAAGATGGAATTAAATAAGCCAAAAGGAACAATGAGATAATAACAATCGTTCTAATTTATAACCTATAAACTGATTGCACGGCAATATTTTTTTTATTGCGTCTAATCTCGTTAGAAATCAAATTCCACAGCGTCTTCTTATCGTATTGTGAAAGTCACAAGCACCGATCGATATCCTGTTTAATTTACGACGTACCATTACTTAACCATGTTATATTGATCGTCGATTATACACAAGAATACTAATATCTATTTTCAAGATTGCACGATTATCTCTATTTAAATGGCTTTATTATAGCTGCTTCTTTATTGTCTGTTCTATACACGTCCATTTTTATCGATCCACTTTCACCGATCGAAAAAAACAAGAACACGTCACTTTTTATGTTAAATGAACTATCGGAAACGGGGGATCAAGGACACGGTGATGTTTAATAAACGTGAATTGATTATGTTTGTCAGCGGATTATATTTTTTTTCATCCCATTGATCGATCAATATTACAATATTTTTACGACACTTGTCGAACCGGTTTTTGCCAAAACTATTACACTTGCTTTCGTAATCCGAAAGAAGAATGAGAGCATAAAAACCAGTTAGGAAGGATATGATGCGATAAAAGCCACGGATGTTATTTCAAAGGCTGTAAGAAGCGTTACCCTCGCGAATTTGCGTTTGCCACCAATATTGGAAGCGTTGAATTTTAAGTAGACCCAGGTTGCGCACGCGACACGAATATCAGAATTCGAACATACAATCGAGCCAGTCGAAGAATTATCGATCGAACTAAATTCGCCGTTTTCACTTTCGAATTTACTGCTCGAATTTATACACCCGCAACGTCCTTGCCGATCGCAAGGCCAATTTTCTCTCTCAGCCGTCGCTCTTACTCGCCTGCCTTTGCATTAATTAATACCGGCCATTTCAATAATCAGCATACAACCGCTCATAGCGACTCTGCTAAAAATTCCTACTGTCACGAGGTCGTACGTCAACTTATTGAATTGATTAAATTTGAAATATCACCGACACGTGTATACGTTCAATTACGTTAGCACTGAGAAGAAACTTATAGTTAAATCCGGCGCCGAGCATACTCTCCAACCGCAAAAATAGTCAAGAAAACCACTTTTCTAGAAAGTGTTATTGTAATGATAACAACCATACACGCACGTTGTTACTATAAAACAGCGCCGAAACTGGCTGTAATTTTCTATCAGCGTGATATAGAGCGTTTAGCAAAACGGAACTCGCGTCATATATTTAAACGATCAATGCGACGCTGCAGTCGTTGATGACAGCTAGTCGAATCGTTACCTCGGACACGGCAGCGGAGAGTACGGATATTCGTCGGCTAAGAAATCATTGCGAAAGAGCCGGCTTCGATCTTCGCTTTACCCAACATTGGTTCGCTCGACATCTACCAAACTCGTGAACACCTCAAAGATTTCGCGTACAGGGGCAGACCGACCCAATTCTGACCGGACCTGACGGGCCAGACCCTTGTTTTGTTTGGGAGGGGCACCGGTGTGGTTATCTTCGTTGGAAGGGGTGTGCCCCCGGGTGCCCATATAAGTAAGTCCGAGTGCCACGGCTAGGTCACAGTCTCACAACCCTTCGTTGCATCGCGCGCTATCCACTCCGTTCTCTGCAAGGTGATGGTCTCGACAGAAATTATTTTGCTCCTAAAAACAGCCAGTCACTAACGGACTAAGTCTCGGCCTGGTTTCACATATAAGCGACAGACGTATCGAAGTTGTCGACTGTCCGTTAGACGGAATATATAAGAGCATTATTGTCAATTATTGTAGAGGAGAAAGAAGCTATTGAGCTCTCCGTTATAATGAGAGACTCACGTGCTTTGTTATATTGTATCGACTATAAATCGATTTCACCGACGTCTGCTCGTTGAATCGAACACCAGACTTTCTCCGAGGCTACAAGATTCATTTATTTATTTATTTACTCACGTGAGAGATACTCGTTGGTATATAAAACAAAAATAATCCGTAAGGATTATTTAGTTACGATTCTAGATTTATCAAAGGCTCGGAAAAGATTCGGTATTCGATTATTTCCTCAATCTTTCCGCAATTTGTTCTAAAGGAACGGGGCTTTTTTTTCAGAACTATCGCTGTACGAAATAAACTGTCGAATCAATCAAATTTCCAGCAGCAGCGTAATTAGAGTAAATCTTCTTGATTGAAATATCATTAAATCTACTATATATTGTTTCAATAATTAAAGTATTAGTTCGATATTCAGTTCAATAATTTCAACGATATCATCATTGAAGCGAGCAGATCTGTTCCAATTCGCGCGTGCTGTTGGAAATTCTATTGATTCAACGGCATTTATTTTTCCGTGTACGACTAACATCACGAGACGTGATTAAAAACGCGCCCGTCGTGTCGATCGTATCATGACGATTTCATTCTCAGAATGCGGTTGTTCGCGATAATGGCAGCGCTGCTGCAAATCGGTCTGTGCGGCCACGTGTCCATCAGGATGCCGTACTTGAACCCGGCCGGTGTGACCTACGTGAACGGTCTCGAGACGCAGGATGCGGCCTTCACGTATGCCTCCGACACGCCATTGCACACGATCGAGACGCAGCACGTTCAGTACGCAGCCCCGGTGATCCCCGCCAAAGTCGAGACGCACCACGTCGGGTACGCGGCCGCTCAGGTGCCCGCGGTGGCCGCAGTACCATTCGTCAAACATATACCGACGGTCTCGCAGGTGCCGGTCGCTACGATAGAGGCCCATCCCACTCTGGTGCAAAAGCAGCTCGACGTGGTGAAGCCCGCGGTCACGAGCCGCAAGATTGAGGTGAGTGTGCTGCGCGAAAGTACGGAGTAAAACAGTCGCGCGGTGCGGCGCCAATTGCACCGTAATCGTTGACACAATTTATTCATTATATTTTCATTATGCACGCGTGGTAATTTAGTTTTAATTTCAATCTTAAGGTGAATAGCCGTATATAGGGTGTCCCAAAACCAACGTATGTCATTAACACGATAGATTCTTTGGGACGTTCTCAGACAGAAGTTCAAATACGGGAATCTCGAGGCGACAATAGTTTCGGAGCGATCGAAAAAGCGGCGTGTTACACTACGCACGATATAAACGCATGTTTTTGACATTATTTGTGTGCCGAGATTTGAATAGATCGATACTGCGGTATATTAGGTGCGCCGTCCAGCGATCCAGAAGCAATTTTACGACATCGAAGAGCGAGTTATCGTTCGTCCAGCTGGGTCGGCCGTGGTGGAATTAGACGAGCCGACGTCTAAACTGCAAAAGGGATCAACTGTGGTTCAAACTTTGGATTATCCTCAAGTCCATGGCGTTCACGCTCACGCTGACTTTATCGCCGATAACGCACCTACGGCCATCCCTGTGGCCGCACCTGCTCATATTCCTGTCATCTCTCACGCGACATTATCGCCTTTGTCTCTTCCCTCCCCAACGTCAGCACCGAATGACCTCAGCGCCAACAACCTGGAGAAGGAGTCCGTCGTGATTGAAAATCCCGATTTTCGTAATGCCATCAATCGAGCGCGCCTTTCTCAGGTACACCACCGGCATTTTCGGCGTATCTTTACGCGACGATATATCTTGTAATTTTATCGGGAAGAGCGGGAGAAATAATCTCTCAAATCGGCCTGATCTCTTTTCAATCTCGAAATCAATTTATTTGAGATAATTTGAACATTGTCAGAAAATCGTTTGAGATCCGGCGTTTAAATTCGGTATTGCGGAAGTTGTTAGATACAAGTTGTGGAAAGAATTGCAAGGAGGCTTTGATCGATTCAAATTTCGTTGTGTATCTCGTTGAGTATTATTTTGCAGGTTCGTACTTCCGAGCCTCGTGTAATTGCCGAGTCGAACGGTACGCCCTTGGACGCCTCTGCCACACGGTTCATCGCTCATGATCCTTCCCCGAATGTGATACCCAGCCAAAAAATCAGTACCGAGGATGGTAAAATTAACCAGAACCGACTCATCGATTTCTTGACTGCTCGTGGTGGTGTTGCAGAGGTATTGCGAAAAGAATCGCCGTTGTGTGATTTATAAAAGCATTAAGTAAATACGTGTGTTAGTTCTCTCATAATATAATCGATCGATAATACCGTTGTCTCGGCTTGCTCTTTGCTATGATGACAATTCACTCACAAGTGTTAGTCACGAAAATGCGCTTCCCAGGTGGGTTTCGGCCGCGATGGAGCAGCTGGAGCGCCGATCGGTGATGCTGCGTACGTGCGAGCGCGCGTTCTATCCGCCACACCAGCGCCGGATCACGCGGAACCAGCCGGGGAACGCGTATCTACTCGTCGCATTGTCGTCAGCAGACCGATCGAGACCTTTCAAGAGTACGACATCGTAGAGCCCGCCACGAAGATCGAGAGAGTCGCCGTGCAGCATCCTGCATTCATCAAGACAGCTCGCGTGGATCACGTGCAACTGCACGGTTCCGTACCGGTTGTCGGCAAGGCTCTCGCACCTGCGTTAGCGCACGCCGCGGTCCCGGTTTATCAAAAAACGATCTCTCCGGCGTACTAGTACTATCAGTCGAGAACATAGTTGGTTGACCTTGGTTTGTGTCTACTTCAAAAGTGATCTTTGTGATAAACGCTCTCAGAGAGCGACAAATTCCGAAAAGTATTCGAGGTATGTCAAAAAAAACAAAACCGCGTTCCAAAAGTATCATAAGACTCTAGTTTCTCCTTACTCTCATACTTTCAAGTATAAAATCTGAGGTAAATTGAAACGTAGCTAATGAACAGTTTAAATAAATATCGCGATCTTTATTGCGACTAATAATAGCAATACAATGTAAAGGACCTGCGATTAAGTAACATGTATATCTTTTTTTTATCGCAAGCACTACATTATATGTATAAAGTATGATAATATATAACTCTCGTACGATAGACGATTAAGGATTTCGCATAAACGATAAGGATTTCGTTTGAAAAATATAATAAATTTCTTTAAACGCCACATATGACGCAATGTTTATTTCATTAACGGCACGATTTCTCGCACAAACTCCCGTTCCTCCAATAAATATTTCCACACTATTAAATGTCGCTGTTTTTACATCTAGAATTTTACGTTATAGGCGTTAAAAATATCGATGAACATAAAATATCTTTTGAAAAATCGTACGAGAAATGCAACATAAAATAATGGCCAGTCGTTTCAGGCAGTAAAATACATTTGAAATATTTACTAAGATCTCTCTTTCGGACACTTCATGAATTATAATTATAGCCCATGTGGTCAGTATTAACGACTTCCTGAAACCTTTCTACGCTAAAGCTGACAAGGGTAACTGCTCAGTTGCTTGTTTCTTGTAAGGTCATAACATTGACCTAAATAACGCTAATGTTTCCGTTCTCTCATCCGTTCCGCGGGCATGGACATAAAAGGTTTACTCGTTCAAATCTTTTTACTAATGGTACGTGTCATTAAATTACAAACATGTAAAATTTGGCATTATAATGCAAAAATGATAATAACATCGTATCACCACCCACGTATATTCTTATTCTCATTCTAATACGGTATTATTAATCTTAATAATACGTAGTCATTTACAAAACACAGATCTTGTCCTTAAAACGTACATTAAATATACAGTTATTTTATTAAAATTCATATTATTTAGAAGTTAATTAAAGATACTAAGCAAATGTTACTTAATATCATAAAAATGCATATGCCTTTTTATTCGATTTCGTTTCACTTTCACATTTTCTTTACAAAAATTATTTATGTAAAAGCCACTCCGGTTCCAATAATAGTATAATGACAATTCGATTTAGGACGATGTAACGCTGAAAACTGCCGCTTAGTCACATAAAGCGAATCCGGTTCTGACTGCATTGTATCGAAACGCTATATGCATAATACGCAAACCGGAAAGCAGTATGCGTACTGAAAGCGCTACTTGCGTAGGTGGTTGAACTCGATTACGAGAAAGAGAGAAACACTTTGGCCAACCCGATTCGATTCTGATCACACAATTTGAGGATAAAACTCTCTCCCGATTACGTAGAACAGATATTCGATATTCACGGTGTGTACCATTACGGTGCTCTTCTTGTACGCTTTCAGCATTTATAAAGCAACGTAATGAAATGCGAGAGCACGATAAAAGCGTGACATTTCACGATATGTAGCATCAAAGCCGGCAAGATCGTCACCCTTGACTCAGTTCAACGACAGATTAGCGACCTCGTCGTAAGGACAAGGGAAAGAGGCAGAGCGCTCGCTCGAGGCTTCTCCGGGTTAGCGAATGAATAAGAGACGTTGGATATAATTTTAGCCGAGAATACCGGTCGGACGACGCGTATATATATAAGTACAGCCGTCACGGCTCTTGCACTCGGTTAGATACGCATGAGGTAAACGCGTCGTCACGAAATATCGCAAACCTTTGAACTTCCGAGAGGTGAGTGTGGGTTTACTACGAAACTATGCGTGACCTCGAGACTTTCGCGTCACTTTGTGTGTGTATGTGTGTTTGTGTGTGTCCAAATCCGAGCTTCAATCATCTCAACGTCGCGGAGATCGCTTGTATCGTTCATGAGTGATGAGAATCGAACAGCCATAATTTATAATCTAATACACTGACTTCCCCGACGTGATAATTACGATTAATCTGAAATTTCGTTTTTCCGGCCCTGGAGAAAAATTGTACGATCTTGCAGAGGAGTACTGGGTCAGCAAATGTCGACTAACAGTATGAACGTTATCATCCTATTTACTTTGATGGCAACTTGCGTGGCTACACCGATTTTCTTCGCTCATCCTGAAACAGTTCTCGCCCATCCAGCTGTCTTGATTAACTCCGCAATGGAAGATAGTTTGCCTAACGAATTGCGAAATGATTTCTATAAAAATCCAAACATTGCAGCTGGTCTCGCTAAAGAGTCCTGGTTTATCGGTAAAGAAACGCAGGTACAGACATTTCGCAAACAAACCGCCAATCTTTTAACAATTCAACAGTTCAACAATTCAGAAAGTTCAACAATTCTTATAGCTAACTTGTACTACGTGCGCTAATATGTTTTACTACGTGCATTAATATGTCGAACAATTTAACGCTTGTATTTTATTAACTATGATAGCGTAATATCACATTTGCTGTATATACATGATGACCTCCTTCTCGTCACATTCAATATATAAATAAGTAGAAATAAAATACTAAATTGACTTTGCAGAATTTTACATGATCTCTATGTATTTTTGCAGGTACTCGACAGAGAAACGGATAAAATACCCAGAGAAAAAATCTTCAGTGCACTACATAATGCCGGATTAGTTCGTAGATAATATAGAAAAAATAAACGAAGATTACATCACCATACATACAGCAAATATATTTTCATTCAAAATTAAAACTTCGAAATATTTGTAATTTTTGTAATACGATTTCATTGAAATTTTGTTAAATAAGTTAAGAATTATTTGTGCCTGTAATAAAAGATATCATAAGAAATTATGGTGAATATTATTTTTAAATCCTCAAATATCATGGTGTGGCATCTTTATTAAACTGGCGCTCCAACACAAAAAATTGAAATAAGAACTACAGCAGAATTAAGTGATCGAACTTTTTATCAGGAACTCGGATATGAAGATGAGAAAATTAGTTTGTACATCAACTTAACACCATTACTGCTCCAACTAAGCTAAAAAGAAATATACTACGATTTAGTGTCGCTTAGATCTTTTTTAAGGGGAACAAACAAAATTTATATATCTATTTTGATTAAAAAAAAAATACGAGTCAAATAATTTCATCTAGTTAGTATTAAGCGTTCATCGAATTAGTACTATTTTAATTGTTTAATACTACTTTGATATATTATTGCTGTAATAATGGCAATAGGGTGCCATCTAGGTTGTGCCCTTCCTTTAATGAACTACTAACGGTCAAAGGTCACACATGAAAGTATCCTTCCATTGGTAATATGTAACCAACAGCGAATATATTTGTGATTTCTAGGTTGTGGTTTGAGTAAGATTTTTCGAAATTTTCTTACGTGCACAAACTAAAAATATTTTTGGTCATTCCAACATATGTAAATAACGGGGATGGAAACGGTTTCTAAAATATAGATGGTGAATTGCTATATCGAAGAAACAGTAAAGAGTATCGAATCGGTGATTCTCAGTTGACTTTTTAGATATCGACGAGATTTACAAAAAAGTTTCTATGGATGATGACGTATTTAACAAGTTATGAAAATATGAGGCAATCAATTTTTGAAAACTTAACATACATACATATATATATAATATATTTGCTGTATGTATGGTGATGTAACCCTCGTTTATTTTTTCTATATTATCTACGAACTAATCCGGCATTATGTAATACACTGAAGATTTTTTCTCTGGGTATCTTATTTGTTTCTCTGCCGAATATCTGCAAAAATACGTAGGAATCGTGTATGTATATATATATATTAGACGCCCGATGGATCAGCTGGTAAAACGTTAGGTCAAAGGAGCTTTTACTTCACGTTGAACCATAAAGATAAAAGTCTGACTGTTTAGACAGTTAAATTGGCTAAACTGTTTAAAATGCTTAAACTGAAGAATGGAAGATTTTTTTACTTATCGTTGAGTTAAACAGTTTAAAAATAAAAATGATGATCTGATCTATTGTTGAATTACACTACGTATCCAAATTAAAAAAGTCAGTTTTCTTGATCACAAAAAATAAGTCAAATTTGATACATGTATATATGTATATATATCAAATTTTATCTATTTTTTGTGATCAAGAAAACTGACTGAAATAAAAGCTCCTTTGACCGAACGTTTTACCAGCTGATCCATCGAGCGTCTAATCACCATATCACTTTCTTGCGATAAGTTACGATCGAAACTGAAGGACCGTCGTCTCACCGTAACGACTGTTCGCTCGGACAGAGATAATTGCGAATTGCACAGTGTCCAAGGTCACGTTAGCCAGAGGGTGTTCGCAGATTACATCTTAACGATAGCGTGTTACGAGCGAGGCGAAAGACCCTTGGTATCGATCTTCAAGGCCGAAAGTCTAATCCGCTCGCCGAGGGAAATTCCCCGTTTGACTTCTTCGATATTTGTTATTGCGGCCTCGAGCCATTATCAACGTTACGAGCCTGAAGTGGAGAGCGCGTGCATATCGAAGAAAAGAAGCGAAGCGGAACGAGGCAGCGGTAAATCTTGTCCACGGACGGCAAGTTATTCCTCCGTTGCACTTTACACCGCGTCGTCCCGGGACGTAAGGTCCTGGTATTTCGTGCATTTTATCGATGAAGTGTCATCCGTAATTTGAAATTCTACCTTTCGCCGAATATTAGGTCAATCGTGACGATACGATTTCTGTGTCCCCTGTAGCGCCCGCGAGGGTGCCGTCCGGAGTACGTGATACACAATCCAGGTTACACGCGTCAGGAGTTATTTGCATCGCGATTAATACTTTTATGCAAATTAATGCCTGATCCGTGGCCAAGTGTACTCGTGTCCGTTGTTAGCGCATATAGATGCGCTTCTTATTGGATCCTTCTACGCCCTCGTCGATCGATCCGCCGTATTCCTCTTCTTCGTATTGTTAAATTATGCGACGGTTAATTTTAGGGCTGCCGTGGGAGAGACATCGATGCTGCTTCTATCGTGCGTTTCCCGAGATCGTGGCGGTTCGTAAAGAGTAATCTCTGTATATTCCCTTGAGTCGAGTATGTAGCAGTTATTCTCTGAAACATTTTTCTCATCACGGAGGTTACTAGCTTTTTATTGTGAGGACGAAAGCAGTAATGGAAAATAGTTGAGAAGCGAAAGAAATATTAAGCGATATTTCGCCCTCAACCGCGAAGAATTTCTCCTCGTGGAATAAATAAATCAACGTTTCTCTGGTTCGACTTATAATCTACGTATAAAATTCCTCGCTGTGTAACTTCGTGATTTTCTATCGATCGGGCAATAATTGTTGTATAAGTGCTTGTCGCGTTTAATCGGGTGTTCGCAGCCGCTACTTCATCATCGTGAAATATCCCAACGTCGTAATTATGACTGACCTCACATCTTCCCCCCTCACTCCACTCCCACATATTCACGAACGTATATGCGAAGGGGTAAGAAACGCGAGTTTTACAGTCGGACCTAAACGCAGGTTCAAAGAGCGCAGGTCTCCCACGGCTAACCGTGTCGACCGCGAACCAAGAAAGCGAACCCGCCAAGGGTTGCCCGGGCGGCGGCGGCGGCGGCGATGGCGGTGGTGGTGGGTGGTAAGGTGGAAACGCAAGGAGTCACGCGAAGCAGCCCCCGTTGAAACGGAGGTTCGGGGACGGTACGTTCCCGTACGTACGGCGAATCAGTCAGTCATCTGCAGGATGAGGCGCACGACGTGGCTGCTTTTTGCGCTGACCCTGCTGCTCGTCCAGAGGACACGCGTTAGTCGCGCCCAGAGAAGCTATGCGCGACAGGGCGCCAACCGTGAGAACCCGACCGTTAAGATACCGGATCAGGGGACCGTCCTCGGCAAAGAGGTGCGACATCGACTTTCGTTCTCGACTTGAGTATGCTTGTTCCTTTTACGTTTCTAATACACACCGACGCTTGGCTCGTCAGCAAGTACGTTAATTTTCGCGAGGATCGCGATCGTCGACGTTGGGATCGACCACGGATGAAGCGAAGGCCGCCTGTGAAAGAGCGATCGACCTCACCAGCCTCGTCAGTTGGCTTAACCCTCTTTTAGTCGCGATATCCAATAGATGTCATCCTATACGGAAGAAAGGGGTTGTCTGTTCATAAAGGGCAACTGGAATTTAATTATCGGATTACCTGGTTCTTAGCTAAACTTCAATTAACTAAATTTCAGTTGTGTTACATGGGCAGCTAATTTTTAACCTGTGTGAGCTAATTCCTTTTTTTCGTGCGACGTTTGTCAATTTGTTATTTATGTACCTCAGTGTCTCTGGTTTATTAGCCAAGTGTTAATGAAAGGAAAATTGTTTCAAGAAGCAGGGAAAAATAATGGGAAAATTAGCGTATCTGTGAGATACATTGCAACCACTCATGGATGAGAAATAATGCGACGGAGAGTTAAAAATTTACGTCTCAACGACACGTTGCTTTCTTTCTTAATTTCAACTTTCGGAAAAAGTAGACGACATCTTTAGTTAATCTTCGCCCGTTTCTTTTCACCTTCACGTTCCTTTTGTTTAAAATTCCGCAAAGACGCGGGCAATGACTACGTTCAGCAGAGAAAGCAGCTTAGTAAACATGGAGCAACATAAATTGCTAAGTATCGTTCAGCGGAAAATCTTATATACGCAAAGCTGCTGACAGTGCAGCGGAAAGCGCGAGGTTGTCTGCTTTTTCTGCTGAACGCAGCCTATAATCTCGATTCCAACTTATTCGACGTTCCTCTTTCATTTCTATATTCCGCTCGCGAAATCCAGGTAGCCCTCGGTGGTACGCAGAGAGTGACGCAGTACCTCGGCATCCCTTACGCGCAACCCCCGCTCAGCGAACTCCGCTTCGCACGACCGATGACAGATCCTCTCCCCTCTTGGAGCGGCGTGAGAAACGCGACGCAGTTCGCACCGTCGTGTCCGCAGGTCACGGGCCGGCTGAAACTGCACGAGAAACTCTACAAGCAACTGCTACCACCGGATCTGCCCGATCCGGGATTCAGCGAGGATTGCCTCTTCTTGAACATCTTCGTTCCTGACGGTACGCGCGTTCCCTTCAATTGCACGTAGTCCGCACAGCAAATAGTCAACGTATAAACTTCCCGCAGTTCAGCGCGATTCGAAAAGCTTATTTTTCCCAACTCATCACTTACGTCAATCTGCTTCTTATAAAGACGGATTTAAATCGTGTGAATTCACTTAGTCCGTTTCCGTCACGGAAGGGAAAGGTTAGCTTCAGTAGCTGAGTTGGTTGTAACATACGGACGCCTAAAACTTTAGCAGCGTAAGCGATTTTAATTGCTGCAGTAGCGAGTTCCTTCGCTGCTGCAGCAAACGCAGTATCGTCAGTGACATTTACTGCAGTTACTGCTACCTACTGCAGTAATTAAAAATTGCTTACGTTGGTGAAATTTTAGGTTTCCATGTGTTTAAACTAATTTAACTGCCGCGCCTAATCTTTCTTCCGGTGGTTTCGAAAAAAAAAACAGTATGTCTCCCTGATTGCCTTCCTTTCTTGAGGGGAAAAGGATATTATTAATTATTTATATATTGAAATATTATATTATATTTTAATAATATTACATATATTTTAATAATAACATATATATAAAAATATTCATATTTTATTATTAGAAAGAAATATTCCTGAAAAGAAGAAAAGATTCGTGCATTGTTTTTATTCGCTCTCTCGCGGAATCTTCAAGCGCGGCCGGAACGTGCCTTTTCTTCATTTGATAGACAATTTCACAATTAGCAGCAGTGATTCGCGTCACCGTCGATTACAGTCCTCGATACGCGGCCATCTTTTTTTCCACCTAATCTTCAGCGAAACGTCAAGCACGCGACGCCGCGGAAACGACGGTCAACGGCGAAGTTCGTTCTCGACGGAACTCGAGATAATACACTCCGCGCTCGGGGAGTTCTCGGAGACCGATTTCTATCGTTCGCGAAGAGGGAAGTGATTACGGTATTCACGGCGGTTGAAAGCGCGGCCACCTCGCGATCAGATAACGGTGGACCGAAGCAGAAAATTAATAACCGTCCGTGCGTGCAGCGGCAGTGTCGTGCAGAGATTTATCACACCCACGTAAAAAGCATGAAGGGGTGGACGTCCTGCAGTTAATGCTCGATGCTATTAAGTCGGACGTTTCTCGCGGGAATTGTCCACGCTTCGAGCTTGACTACCCGCCGTCGTCAAACAAGGACAATTCTGAAGCGAGACTACAGAAGTCTTAAATTCTGCCATTGAGCCATCGTTCCGAACCGGCACCGTTCGGGAGAAAAATTAAGTATTCAAACCGCACCGAAAGCAAATGTACGTGCTCGACTGAAAAATGTTCCCGAGCTTGCGCGGAGATTACAAATCCCCAGGAGCGAAAACTACCGTTTATATTCTGGCCCCGTTTTTCCGCTCGTTCTCTCACCTTAATACAAATTTAATGAGACACTAATAGCGAGTACACAGGCGCAGTCTTAAGACTCGGCTGAATATTTACACGCGTACGGGCGGACGAAAGGTTAAAGGGGGTGCGACGATGAGGTCGAATGCGGGCCGCGGCATACTTCTTCGGTCGTGCCGGTCTCGCCGGCTTAATCGGCTGGAGACGGCTAAACGGCGTCTCCCTTTCGTCCGAGAGGAAAAAAGAAGGAGGACGCGATCGGAATTGAACCGGCACGAAAGTCCCACGTACGACGTCGTCGGCGACGATGATGATGAGGACGACGCCGGGCAAGTTGGTCGATATACACGCGGCTAGTAAGAGTAACAGTAACTGGCGCGCACGCGATCTCCCAGAGTCCAATCTGAGATGCCGAGATACCAGAAAGCCGGTCACGAAAGCTCTCCCTTCTCGCTCGCACCTTCTACGCCCGCTCCTCTCCTCCGCGAAAATCGTCACGACGTGATATGAGTCATTGGGAGGAGCGCATCCTTATAGTCGCGGCAGGATCACACCGGCGGGATGCGTGTGGCATTCGGGGTGCGCGCACTGAACTCCCGATGACAGCTAATGCGGAAAATGCCGGAGGTACTTGGTGCGAGCGTGCCAAGGTCGCCGCTAAGAAACGACGCCGGCGTGTTCGGGACGACGATAGCGCGCGGAAGACGGTCGTGTTCAGGAAACCGCAGGGGGGAGAAATCTCGTACCGGTCCCCGTTATCGCAAGGAGGCTCACATTCGGTAGGCTGGAAATAGAATATCGGATGTGTGCCTTATGTAAATTCAGTCTCATTCCGTCTATATGTTATGGATAGCACTCTCTCTGTAATATGTGAAAAAGAACGCTGCTGTATATCGCCGGAGACCTCGTCGAATCTCGGCTATCTTTGGCGCGATCAAACGCGAACTGAGCATTATCCGAGTTTTCCTCCACTTTTAGCAAGAAACAGGAATGCTATAGTCGAAAATGACAAGGTGTGTGAAAATAACATCGGACTCGTTGACGGTGATTTCGATTTTACCCGCCGTCTCCGTTATCAGATCGCCCTCTGTGAAAAAGTCCTATTTGTCGGGTAAAGCTGGGAGCGGGAATGACGGGAATGATTCTCGAAATAATCCTCATTGATTAATAATACGGCTGTTTCGTTGGTCTCAATCAACTTTTTCCATCTGGAAGGAACTTTTCCAATCTCCCCGCGAGATCTCCTCTCTACTTTATTTAGAATGAAGCCCGATGTAAAATCTGATAGGCAGAGTCGTGGGAGATTTAATCTGGCGGAAACGCGGTCCTCTCGAACCAGAACCTGATATTATTTAAAAAGATAGACAAACAGGTGGATCTACTTAATCCACATGGAGTAAGACTCCTCCGGGTACACAGTCTATATATGATGAAGAAATCGAGTACGGTATTGTAATGTAAGATAATAAATGTAAAATAACGCGCGTACATTGCCGTTATTTAAGCCGACGCGGGATCTTTACGGCACACAGATTTCCGGGCGGGCTCTTAAATCGCTCAGACATTCAGCAAGCTCTGTCGCAAGGACTTTCTCGCCGGGCGGCTGACCGACTCGGCTAGCGTGCCGCTTATCCGAATAAACCGCCGTATCCGTTTAACATTCCTTCCGAGTTAATAGCTACGTTAATTAACGAATAATTCATGCGCGTAGGGGGCCGTGGGGACGAGCAGTGGCCGGTGATGGTTTGGTTCCACGGCGGCGACTTCAACACCGGTACCCCGGCGATCTGGGACGCCTCCATATTCGTCAGCAGACAAAAGGTTCGATTACAATTGACGACACCGCCCCGGAAGCGCCGTTCCGACCGGTGCGATCGTGAAAAAGCGGCGTCGAAATTAATGTGTTTTCCGTCGTACAATGGGATGAAGCATAGTGATACCCAGGCATTGACGCATTGAGAGAAAGAGAGAGAGAGAGAGAGAGAGAGAGTGCGCCACAGATAATAATATTTATTCAAATAACACGATAAAAATATTTATTTCTCAAATACAAACATGTATTTTTCAAATGAGAATGTTTATATTTAATATTTCATATGGTTTCCCTTATCATGTAGTGTTTATTGAACGAGCGCTCGAAATATCTTATTTTGTAATATACGAATGAACATCTTCAAAAAGGTATATTTTATAAGAGTATAATACTACTATAGGTGCACCTAATCTCTTAACATACACGTAGTCTGAAATACATAATTTTGTAAAATGTTGGGTTCGGGCCACCACTAGGATTTCTTATAAAACCTTCGATAAACATCATATCTTTATGATTAAAGTTCCCAGTAAAGGGAAATGATATATGAGAGTGAAAAATTGACGTCTTCGATCAAATTGTGCGGGAAAATGATTTGATATATAATATTACAAAGCCGGGGTACAACTTATCTTGGAAGAGAAACGTAATCATACAAGTATCCCTTGGAACTAAATCGGATCATGATGCGCTTTGGTAATATTACCGAAATGTTCGAGCGACTAACTTTGACGGATCGCACAGATCCGTTCATCCGTTGGCCCCTTAATGTAAATTGCGATGTGAAACGATCATAGTTATGTAAGAAGGATTCAACCCGCGCGGTACGTTTCGAGAGAAATAAAGATGAAAATTTGACACGTGATTTGAAAAGTATAAATATCATTGAGGTTCTTCACAATCGTTCAAGAAGTCGAGCATGGCCCACTTTCTTCTCTCTTCAAGAGTACTCATTGACAAATTGAATCCTTAAAAAGAATAAGCGAAAATGACGCAACTAGTAGGAAATAAAAATTGTTTTTTAATTAATCTTAAACATCCGTAATAATAATAATTTAATAATAAAATGTAATTAATTTTAAATGCCCTTGGACCCATTTGTTTTATGTAAAAAGACGTACCCATTGGTAACGAAAAATCTCAAAATTACAATTTTATGAGTTCGATCCTTCTTGCAACTAACTATGAACGAAAATATGAATAAGTAATTCGCTAAACATTTTGCGCATGATGACGTGTTAAAATTCGAAGTTCCACTTATTCGCCGAACGCCTCGCAAATTGCATTGTTCGTCCCACTGTGCGTCAGTGGTGACGCGCGCGGTGACGATCGGCTGCCGACGCGATTAACGTGTATTTTTAACGAGGTCTACTCGCGACTCGCCCAATCAATGCCCTAGACATTCAAGGCATAGCGGACAGAAAATCGAAAGGAATCCGGCCGGCGCCTTTTCTCCTCTTATCTCGCGTGTCCGCCACTTCTGAAGCGGACCCGAGCTTTCGCTACTCGCGTATGTATCATTAATGAGGCTTTCGTTGAACTCCGATGAACGGATACATAAAGCGGTATCATTTACGACTCGGAAGCCTACCTCGCGGCGGCGAATTGATCGCCGACCACACGAAACGAAAATAGTAAATCTCGAAACTCTCTCTCTCTCACCCCTGCTCTCCCCGTCGACGGTAATCGTCGACTGAGCGGTTTAATCACGCACACTAAAGAAAGAAGTCGAAATTACGCGAAAATGAACGAGAACGACCCTCTCACGCGGCAGGTGCTGGTGGTGACGGTGGCGTATCGATTAAACATCCTGGGATTCTTCACGACGACCGACACCGAAGCGCCCGGCAATTACGGCATGTTCGACCAGATCGCCGCCCTCGACTGGATCAAGCGCAACATCAAGCACTTCAACGGCTCGCCGAGCAACATCGTGATTTACGGGCACAGCTCAGGCGCGATCAGCGTCGGCCTGCACATGCTGAGCCCGCTGAGCCGCGGCAAGTTCTCCAAGGCGATCGCGATGAGCGGTGACGCGGTGAGCTCGGTCGGCTCGCCGGAATCCGAGGTCGGGATCGTGGAACGCGTCATCGAGAAGTTCGGCTGCTACAGGCAGCCGACCACGAAGATGATGGAGTGCCTGCGCCGGGTGGAGGTCGACATCCTGATCCAAGAAACGTCCGAAATCGAGACGTGGGGCCCGATCATCGACGCCGAGATGAACAACGACACGGAACCTTTCCTCGCGTCACACCCGAAGGACATCTTGGAAAGCGGTGATTGTTAGAGCGGCCTCGATAACGCGTTCCGGATATACGGAGGATCTAAACATTCTATACATCTAACATTCTGTTACATTATTGAACAGAAAGTAATAAACATGAAAAATAACGACGCGGCTCGACTCGATTATTTCAAGAAATAATAGATATAAATGGATGAAAAAAGGGAGTAACGGTGATTTCTCAGAACGATGGAGTCGAACCGCATTGTTGATTACATTTGATTGCTTCTTGTCCGATAATGTTACGGAATCAAGTCTACTCGTACGTGTTGATTTTCTTAAGATTGATTTTTCTCGAGTAAAAATGCGTTCACGTGGTGTAATTTTCGAATATTCGGACAACACCGTCAGAGTATCGCATGAAAAATGTGCGGAATCCGGAAATCCGGATTCTCTACTTCGGACGTTGTCTCCCCGACCACCTCAGACAGAACGACCTGTACATTTGGTTAATTCTCTCGCGTTGATATTTGGTCATCAGGGAACATCAACACGGTGCCGCTGATTGTCGGCTACACGAACAACGAGCAAGCTCTGGCGTACATGGAGGCCACCGGCGGGCCGAACTCGGAGGGCAAGCTCTCCCCGGAAAGCTTCGAGATGATGATCACGGACGAGTTCTTGCAGGCGGTGCAGGCCCCGGACGAGAACAGCACCTGCGAGGCGAATCCCCAGTTGGTGGCGAACGCGGTGCTGTTCTTCTACAGGCCGTACCCACCGACGACCAACGGGACGATACTCCGCGACAGATACCTGGACCTGCAAACGGAGAAGAATTACGCGGCCGGTCTGACGTTGCTGGCCGGCAAAGTGTCGAAGCGCAAGACGCCGGCCTTCGTCTACCGATTCGACTATCGTCCTCGGACGCCGTCGGTGGCGAAGGACGTGCCGGAATGGGCGGGCGTGCCGCACATGTTCGAGCTACCGTTCGTCTGGGGTCTGCCGCATCTGATGGGCGGCGCGACGCAGTGGAACTTCGCCGACAAGAAGATGTCCGACGTGATAATGGCGATGCTGGCGGCCTTCGCCAAGACCGGCGACCCGTCCCTGAACAATCAGATCAAGTGGGAGCCGTTCGCGCAGAAGAGCCCGGGGATCCTGCTGATCGACAAGAACATCGACATGAACCGGCCGGAGGAGGTGGACTACAGGGCGTTCGCGTTCTGGAACGAGTATTATCCGCAGATCCTCGAGGAAGCGTCCGGCCACTGTTGCAACTTCACCAACACGGCGGCCAACGCGTGGACGATGTTGCCGCGCGGCGTGTGCCTCGGCAGCGTGCTGGCCACGGTAGCGTTACAACGGCTTCGCTTTTGAGCCGCAGGCGTGAAATACAAAATACTGAATTACAAACGTGTGTTGTTGCGCTCTTTGTTGTATCTTTTTAATAGACTAACAACTTGTCGAAGGAAGATGAGATACGGCGTCTCGTCGGGTTTTTCAATTTTATAACAAAGATCTCCTCTCCCACTCTCTCTCTTTACTTTCCGGAATCGACGAACGCGCTGATATCCGTCGTGAAACATATCTCGCGCTAGCTGAACGATAACCTGCGATGCGCGCATCCAATCGAGATTTCTCGAGAAGTACGAGATACGCACTTCGATAATATCTCAATTCTTCAATCACACGGCGTTATATCACAAAGTTATTTTATTCCGTTCTTGTTTTCTTACATGTTATACTCGAGATGCGGATTATAAGAATTACGAAGAAGACCCAAGAATATTGTGAGACAGAGAGGGGCACGGAATGGAACAGAGTCCACGGGTCGGCTTACAAAAGTAGGAAACTTGGGCCTTTTAACATTCACTGATCTTTTTTATTATTTGCTTTAATACGGAGAGATATAGAAAAACATACTTTGTTTGAGAAACAAACAGTTTGATAACTTATGAATATTTTGATGATCCGATAATAATTAATAATAATATTAATAATAATAATAATAGTAATAATCATGTTCATGTGTGTGTACCATCTATGTATAATTATATTATATAAGAGAGAGAGGTGCGCGGCGAGCGATGCATTGGGGGCTGGTGGTCTGCGCACGCGCACGTCCAAACGTTTCTTTCCTCTTTTATGTTTTTTCTCTTTCTCGTGTTTCCTTTCTCCTAAATATATAATATTAGTTAATCATTTTTTTTTTCTTCTTAATTCACCTCATGCAAAACTCCTACAGTGATAACCGATGCCACGGGGTCTCGTACTACTTTGTGCGCGTGTTGCTTGCGCGTGCACACGAGCCACCCCGGGACCAACGTATATACAATATTTCCTGCCTTCCGCTTCGCTGTGTCTCTCTCTTTCCGCACCGTAACCATATCTTCGTTCTTCGCTTCGCTGCGTTGCCTTGTGCCTTCGTGCTCCCCCCCCCCTCTCCCCCTCTACCGTCCGAACTTCCTAACCATCGGTGCCACACAGATCTCCCCGCATACCGTCGCCTCAGTATTCTCGTCAGCCCCCCTCCTCATTGTCATTAGTATCTTTTTTTTTTCATCTTGTGTCCGCCCCGATCTTGTTTTTCTTGTTTATCTTTTTTTTTTTCTTTCCACTGGTATCTTCGGATTTTTCATGTAGGAGAGTATGGGCTCTGCCATATCTACCTTACAGAAGTAGGCACAGCGATTTCTTTTTCTGCTTCATCTTCTTCTCTGGCGACTTCTTGTTTATTTGCCGTACCAGGTCGTAGAAAATCTGAAAGGAGGAGGTTAATGGAGATTAGCGGTAACTGCTTCGAGAGCTTTCTACGTTAGATCGAAATGCTCAGTGATTGACAATTATCACGAAGTTCTGGACGAGCTTCTAATTAGTTACTTTTGACGGAAGCTGCTGAATTATAACACGATGTTCAAAGGGAAAAAATAAATAGATTGACGGTCGACTCACGTCGCGAACATTAATTTTAGCTTTGGCAGAGGTCTCCATAAACACGCAGTTGAATTGCCGGGCAAGGTTGACACCCTGATCCTTCCCTACTACCCTCTCGTCCTCCAGGTCGCATTTATTGCCTACTAGTACCATCGGTACATCATCTGTGTCCTTTACCCGGAGGATTTGCTCCCTGAGATCCTGCAGATCGTTGAAGGTCGATTGTGCTGTTATCGAATATACTAATACGAAGCCCTGTCCGTTTTTCATATAAAGGTCCCTCATGGCTGTGAATTGTTCCTGCGAACGCATTGAAAATAACAATGATGTTACTCAAAATGCAACTCGTATCGTCAAATCGTGAAGTGAAAAAGCTAATATGTCGGAAAGTCAATAGAAAACCGCGCAATTTCGCGTTACTTTATTGAGGAAATATTTTCATTCGCATTCGTGCGATAAGGAATACAGATAAAAATGAATAAAGTCAATAAATTATCACAGTATTTTTTTACGTCGTATTTATACGAGATTTTGATGATTCATATTCGTATTATTCCGTCGATATACGTTGACGTTACGTACATCGCGTACGTTGACGTTATGTTGATCATCGCTTGTAATTTTTACGAATTTTTCTTGCGGTTACACCAAAAAGAGACATCGCGTTTAATACGTCTCTCTAATCTCTCAGCTTATCGACATCCCCGATGAAGAAACAAAGGAAACCTTGTATCTCGTGCGGTACTTACTGTGCCGGCTGTGTCTAGGATTTCTAACATACATTGTTGGCCGTCGACCTCGACTTGCTTGCGGTAGCTGTCCTCGATCGTCGGATCGTACTTCTCTACGAAGATTTCTTGCACGAACTGGACAGTGAGGGCAGACTTGCCTACACCTCCACTGCCCAGCACTACTATTTTATATTCACGCATTTCCTTGCCCTATCTACTGCCTGTGCGCCTGGTCACAGTCGAGGGGTCACCGAATCCGCCACGTTTTGCTTCGATTTGCTCTCAGTGAGATGGATCTGAAACAATGCAATACACTGATCTAAAGGCCGCAAACGTGTAACGAACAGGTTAATTTCAGTGACACACCTTGTTCGGGGACGAGTCAGCTTTTATGACTCAATACTTTTTTATATATACGTATATACATGTACATGCGGTGAGTTCACGCGAATTTTTAACATGAGCCGACAATCATAACTAATAATTTCTAAGTAGTGGGTGCAGCGGGTGCCAGAAAGGGTGAAACCTTTTTCAGTATGAGAGCTACTCTCTCTCCCTCTCCCTCTCTCGACGAAAATTTGATTAAACACGCTTTTGTCGTAACTACGTAATTCTTAATATTAAATAGCTCGATAATTAAATGTCCCGAGTTATAAAATTGCGCGCAGGCGGAATAAACTTGAAGGTAAATGAGAAATAACGGGAATATGAATTTCTTTCACTGAAAGCGAGCAATTTCGCGGAGCACAGAAAAAGGGAAGAAACTCTTAATTGCTTTCTAAAATTGATGAGAAATCAGAAATTATCGCGCAAAATTCCGGAATACGGAAACAGTAGTGATACAGTTAATTGTTCCGTGAGAAAGTACCGGGTACGTCCAACAAAGTTACGCGTTACACGTCGTGTTGCTTTCGGCGAAGCGACTTGTCAGAGCAATGAGCGACAAAAGGACGGAGTAGAAGGGAAAACGTGGATACGACAACGACGTCCTGATTGGTCGGCAATGGCATCATGGCCGCGTAGTGGCCAATCGACAGCCGCAAAATTCTTTGCACCAATCCGTCATTGATTTTACCTTATGAATGGACCTGTACGATGACAGCCGCTACTCCCGGACTTTCGCCGGCTTGTTACAGCGCTTAATAAGTTACCTCGGAGACGGTGATTGATATATAACATTACCCAACATATACTAACTAGACGTTAATGATTAATAAATTCTTCGTTGGGTTGATAAATTAATTTAACATCCTTATCTCAACGCTACCACCCAATCACCGGAACAAAAAAAAGATGATTGCTTTTTGATAGAAAAGGTAACAAAAAGAGTGACTGACATACATTTTTAATCGAATTCTGAGAGAAACTGAGGTCATCCTTGGACGACAGAGTTACTTTTCGTCAAACGTGTTGGTATCTTCCAATTATCGTTCCTTCAGTCAGAAACTCATAAAAATTCAAGACACTTCACTCTCTTTTGTTATTTCTACAAAGAGTTCAATTTTATGCAGCACTGTTTAATGAATGCACCAGTCATTTCCTATTTAATACGAAAGAAGTAGCGATGCTCGGAGAGCCTCGTGGAAGACGTAATTCCGCACGAGCTGATCATGAATTAATAATTCGTCGAAATGTCACTTGGGAAATTTACGAATCCATTTACCTATACTTTGTGCCAACTTGCCCATTCGTTAAAAGATCTCCGAATTTAATCTCTCCGGAGATGCAAGACGGTTCTTTCTCGAGCACAAAAATAGTTGTCGCGCAAATGTAATTAAAAAATTCCCCGACTTTCATGTCCCCCCCCCTCCCTCCGCCGCGGCAGCGAAGTGAAATATCAATCTCGCGACTCGATTCTCGAGGAAGAAATAAAGAGAGACGAGAGTAAACCTGAAGATAATGAAGGGCTCGTAATACATACGAAAGAAAATAACTTCATTATCTTGTATTAGCGTGTATCTTACTCAAGAATAGCTCTCCCGGGCTCGCAATTTCCCTCACTTTCCCGTGCCATACTCCGGGCGTGTTTAATTTTCCCAACTTCTCTCCGGGTTTTCCACGCAGCTTGCGGCGGCGCATCGTTCTACCGAGTTTATTAGCGAAGGCCAAACACAATACCCATAGTAACGACGACGGCGACGTCTACTACCGTGCGGCAACGCCAATCGAGATGTCTCGCGAGAACGGCGGTGCGAGACTTCGCAGCAGCGAGAACGAGAGAGAGAGAGAGAGAGAGAGAAAGAGTGAGAGAGAGAGAGAGAGAGAGACGCATCTGGCGTTTATAATATAATTTACGTTATGTGATGCGTTTACGGTTCGCCGTTGCACTGCCGCTGTACGGTGCAATTAAGCGCGCAATTAGGTCGTACGGGCGACGAACGCGGGCAACAAGTTGACGTTCGAAAGAGAGAGAATCGACCGTAACGACACGGGGTGGACCACCGAGGAAGAGAGAGAGAGAGAGAGAGGGCAAGCGGATCGAACGGATTTGGCGTTGTTCCAAAATATCCCCGGGTCGAAAAAGTGTTCCTCGCGCAACGTGTGCGCGCGTACATACGTACAAGCGAGGCAAAAGCTCTCGCGGACGCTCTCTCGTAGACTCCCCTGACCTAGTTATTAGGCTTTGGCATGGGACACGGCGCTGTTCCGTAAATCGCGGCGTACCTTTTGTTCGGAATTCAAAGCTGCACCGCCGATGGAAATCAAGGGGTCGTCGTGTGCCGCTGCGATAGCGTCGTGTGTGACTCCTTCGCGGGGACACACATCGACGGAGCTTTCGGCTTTGTGTTCGTTCGCAGACGAGTGTGAAGGCGCGTGATTTCATCGAGGTGACAACTAAAATCCTCGTGATGCATTAAAAGCACGGCCGGGATTCTCGGAAACTGATAAGACGAGATCTCGATGATAGGAACTAGGTAGATAGATAAATAGATAAGCGTGTTTGTTGATACTTCAGGGCAAAGCCCCTTAAGAGCGTTGCAGGAAAGAAAAAGAGTAGAGGAAAATTTATAATTAACTCACCGAACTTTATATTATACTGGAATGCAATTAAGAAGCCGAGGCAAAAGGGTAAACAGCATAAGGTACTATTTCCTTCTAGTGATTTCTGGTTAGTCAATGATTTTCTATGATTTTTCTACATATATCCGAATGTACTAATTTGAATGTACCATCTATGAAAGGTAATGTTCGAACCACACTGTCCATAGTTCTTACAATTTTCTGTGGAACAGAACTTCAACATTCTTTCGTCTGCTGCTCTTGTCCGTTTTAAATAAGAACTTTTACGATTGTTATTTCCATATAAATAAATATTACTATTCCCTAGAGCGATGAAAAATATCAATTAAAAACGGAAAACGATTGACGATAACGATTTGATCTGACGGCAGATCATAGAAATAACTCGTATAATATTTGCGTTCAATATTGAAGAAGGCCAGCAACAAATAGCCGAGACGTTTATCCGGCACTATCATGTTTTTAATAATAAATATACAAAAAAGTCGGCAACACCGGCTGAGGCTCTTAAAGACCAGGTGAGTTCACAATTTCTTTTGAATTAGTAAACAGATCTCCAATGTTCTTATTCGCGTCCCGTCGCACGAAAAGTGTTAATTTCACGACTGAACTTTGCACTTCCAACTCCGACTGAAACTCGAGGTCAACTTTCCGCATACGAATGTGCGACGAGGATGACGGGGGGGGNAACGCCGTCGGACGATCTTAACCATGTTACCACGACTCTCCGTCGTATTCTTATCGGCTATCTCTCACTCTGTCTACTTGTTGATCGTTTCCGCGACGCCTCGAGAACCGCACGAGGAGAACTCCAACGTCGATCTCGCGTCGCTCGGCTGAACTTTGGTCAACCTTCATCTTTGACTTTAATCAAGCGTATTACTGCCAAGAGACGCCGGTCTGTGACAATTAAAGCCACTGACTGCGAGTTCGTGCGCGATTCCAGAAGGCAAGGTTTCTTTTCTCTCGCGAAGTCTCTCTTTCCATCGCTATCGACGGAAAAATACGCAACTCGCGGCCGCATCGCTCTTGGAATATTCTTTTAACACTTTTCTGGATTTTGTTACACTCCTCACATATACACATTATTTATATTTAAATCGCCTAGCATCTTGTCGGCATCCCGTCACCTTGTCGTCTCGTCAAATTCTTAGGTTTGCCGGAGCCGGCCGGTCTGCTCGTGCGAAATCTCACGTTTCCCCCCCCCCCCC